AATTCCTGTCTGGGATGGAATTCCCAGAGAAGCTGTGGCTGCCCCTGGATCCCTGGAGCTGGGAAAGAATCCAGAGGACCAAACTCCACAATCCAACCAAAATTCCATGAGGAAGAGGATGGGTGAAATTCCTTCCAAAATCTCCTAAATGAGAAAAATTCCAATTTATTTCTGGAAGCTGTTCCCTCTCCTTGGGTTGATCTCCTTCCAGAAATGAATATTTGGGAAAATTCCCACAATTAATATTTGGGAAAAACAACCAGAAGCAATTCCAATGAGAAAATTCCTAAACACAATTATTGATGATTCCAAAGAACCCCCAACTTCACCAAATCCAATTTTAGGGATTTTTTCCCTGCTGTCATTCCCATTCTCCCTCCGCTTCCCCCTTTAGCTGATCATGAAATCCTGCACGGGCATCGACTACAAGGAATTCTACAACTTCCTCAAAGTCATCGCGGAGAACCGGATCTCGGTGCTGGAGAAGGGCCTGGATGAGGAATCCTCGGCCCAGAACGATTCCAAAGCCGCCATTTCCACCCTGGGAATGCTGCACGCCGTGTTCGACCTCAAGCGGACGGCGAAGGTGCTGAGCTCGTTAAGCGCTAACGAGGATTTCCGCAAGCTGGACCTGACCGGCCTGAGCCCTTCTCCAGAGGCTCTGCTGCAGCACCTGGAGTCGGCCATAGACACGGCCCTGCTCTGAATTCCTGCTTTTCCAAGAGGTTTCCCAAAGGGTTTGGAGGAGGAAATGGACTTGGCCAAAAGCTCTACTCCAGTGGGAAGAGAAAGAATGGAAGGAGGGAGAACATTCCCAAAGTTCTGAGCGGTTTGCAGGAATTAAGGAAAGAAGCCATCCCAGCCAAAGGAAAATCCCAAACTTCCTTAGGATTCTGAGCATCACTCAGGGCAGAAATTCCCTGTGGATCAAGTCTGGAAGTGGAATGAAGCAAATTCCCTGTGCTTAAGCTCAGCTTTGTTAAAACCTCGCTACTTCCAAATGCAGCTCAGCTTTTCCATCCTTTTTTCAGGGAAATCCAGCTGGTGAATTCCATGGAATTCCATGGAAGCTGAGCTGGAGCCAGCACCTGGAATCAGCCATAGACACGGCCCTGCTCTGAATTCCTGCTTTTCCAAGAGGTTTCCCAAAGGGTTTGGAGGAGGAAATGGACTTGGACAAGAGTTTGTTCCAGTGGGAGGAGGGAGAATGGAAGGAGGGAGAACATTCCCAAAGTTCTGAGCGGTTTGCAGGAATTAAGGAAAGAAGCCATCCCAGCCAAAGGAAAATCCCAAACTTCCTTAGGATTCTGAGCATCACTCAGGGCAAAAATTCCCTGTGGATCAAGTCTGGAAGTGGGATGAAGCAAATTCCCTGTGCTTAAGCTCAGCTTTGTTAAAACCTTTCTAATTCCAGGTGCAGCTCAGCTTTTCCATTCCTTTTTTAGGGAATTCCATGGAATCTGAGCTGGAGCCAGGATTTGGGAATGTTGATTCCATGTCTTCCAAATTGGGATTTCCAAGGCTGACATGCTCAGGATTAAATTTAATTTAATTCAACTCCCAGCAAAACCTGCCTTGACTCATCCCAATAAAAAGCAGGAATGGGAATGTGCTCCCAAAATTCCAAGCCCCAGAATTCCCTCCAGGAAAGTTCTGAGTGGTTTGCAGGAATTAAGGAAAAACCCATCCCAGCCAAAGGAAAATCCCAATTTTTTTAGGGTTCTGAGCATCACTCAGGGCAGAAATTCCCCGTGGACCAAGTCTGGAAGTGGAACGGAGCAAATTCTTATTTAAATAAAATTAACAAGTTTTCATTTATAATGAAGCAAAGCTTAAGCTCAGCTTTGTTAAAACCTCTCCTCTTCCAGGTCCAGCTCAGCTTTTCCATTCCTTTTTTAGGGAATTCCATGGAATCTGAGCTGGAGCCAGGATTTGGGAATGTTGATTCCATGTCTTCCAAATTGGGATTTCCAAGGCTGACATGCTCAGGATTAAATTTAATTTAATTCAACTCCCAGCAAAACCTGCCTTGACTCATCCCAATAAAAAGCAGGAATGGGAATGTGCTCCCAAAATTCCAAGCCCCAGAATTCCCTCCAGGAAAGATCAGGAAAGCTCTGAGTGGTTTGGAGGAATTAGGGGGAAAAACCCATCCCAGCCAAAGGAAAATCCCAATTTTTTTAGGATTCTGAGCATCACTCAGGGCAGAAATTCCCCGTGGACCAAGTCTGGAAGTGGAACGAAGCAAATTCTTATTTAAATAAAATTAACAAGTTTTCATTTATAATGAAGCAAAGCTTAAGCTCAGCTTTGTTAAAACCTCTCCTCTTCCAGGTCCAGCTCAGCTTTTCCAGCCTTTTTTAGGGAATTCCATGGAATCTGGGCTGGAGCCTGGATTTGGGAATGTTGATTCCATGTCTTCCAAACTGGGATTTCCAAGGCTGAGACGCTCAGGATTAAATTTAATTTAATTCAACTCCCAGCAAAACCTGCCTTGACTCATCCCAATAAAAAGCAGGAATGGGAATGTGCTCCCAAAATTCCAAGCCCCAGAATTCCCTCCAGGAAAGTTTGGAGGAATTAAGGAAAAACCCATCCCAGCCAAAGGAAAATCCCAATTTTTTTTAGGGTTCTGAGCAGGCACTCAGGGAAATAACTCCTTGTGGAATTTTTTTGCGGATCCAGCACCTCCTGCACGCTTCCACAGCACAATTCCCACCCAGAATATTCCCAGAGGAACCTCCCCCTCCTGATTTTCCTTGGAAAAACCCAAAAACCTGGAAGCACAAATGGCTGCACACTGTTACCCTTCAGGCCTCGCTCGAACTCTTCCCGAAATCAAAGCCGAGAAAAACTTGGAATTTCGGGAAGTTTTAGGAAGTCAAACTGAAAATCCACCTCGTTTTCCTTGAATTCCTTGGGATTTTTACCCCCCCCCCCCCTGCATTTTGCATGTCCTTTTCCAGTAGGAATTTTGCATTTTTTCTCCATTCCCAAAAATACCAAGGAGTCGTTTTTGCGGATTCTTGAAGACGACAAAAATTGGAATAAGGAGCACGCAGAGCCTGGAATCGTCAAAATCCCAAAGTTTTATTTAAATAAAAATTCCTGGCAAACTTCCAGTTCGAGTCTCTCATTAATATATTAATTCTTAATTAGTAATAAAGTAATTAATCTGTTATTTATTACAGGATAAAAATCGGGGGAAATGGGAGGAAAAAACCTGGGGGGTTTTGTTTTCCCAGAGTCACCTGGATAAGGTTTAAAATTCCTTGGAAAAATGAAGAAATTCCTGGGAAAAATGACAAAAATCCCAACGGAAAAATGAAAAAAATTCCATTTATTTGAAGATTTGGACTTCCAATTTTTTCTTTCCAAAAATATCAAGGATCCACTTTTCCTTCATTTAGAAAATTCCCAAATTTATGAAAACAAAGATTGGAAGAAGGAGCACCTGGATCCTGGAATTTCTTCAAAATTCCCATCATTTTATTTAAATAAAAAATCCTGGCAAACTTCCCATGGGACTCTCTCATTAATATAATAATTCTTGTAATTAATCTGTTATTTATTAAAGGATAAAATTTGGGAAAAATGGGGGAAAAAAACTTGGGGGGTTTGTTTTCCCAGAGTCACCTGGATAAGGTTTAGAATTCCTTGGAAAAATGACAAAAATTCCTTGGAAAAATGACAAAAATCCCAATTATTTAAAGGTTTGGACTTCCAATTTTTCTTCATTCCCAAAAATATCAAGGATCCACTTTTCCTTCATTTAGAAAATTCCCAAATTTATGAAAACAAAGATTGGAAGAAGGAGCACCTGGATCCTGGAATTTCAACAAAAATTCCAATGATTTTATTTCAATAAAAATTCCTGACAATCTTCCCATGGGATTCTGCCATTAATGAAATAATTATTGTAATTAATCTGTTACTCATTAAATGATAAAATTTGGGAAAATGGGAGCAAAAAACTTGGGGGTTTTGTTTTCCCAGAGTCACCTGGATAAGGCAAAAAATTCCTGGGAAAAATGAAGAAATTCCTGGGAAAAATGAAGAAATCCCAAGGAAAAAAGGACAAAAATCCCATTTTTTGAAAGCTTTGGATTTCCAATTTTTTGTTTCCAAAAAAATCAAGGAGCACTTTCCTTAATTTAGAAAATCAGGAAAACTTGGGGAAAACACCTGGAAAAAGCTTGGGGAGTTTTATTTTCCTGGATAAGAAAAAAAAATCCCAGGAAAAATGAAAAAAAATGGGATAAAACCTGTCAAAATTCAGATTTTTTAGGCTATTTTTAAATTATTATGGGATGCTGAGAACAGAATCCCAAATATCCATTGGGAATATCCCAAATATTTCTTTTCCCAAGGGAAATTCCAGCTCAGAGCACAAATCCAGCTGGGATTGGAGTTTTTATCCCATAATTTCTGGTTGTTTTCCTGGAATTTCCCAAAATCTGGGATAAATCTGTTTTTCCCAAGCCCTCCAGAATTCCAAGGTGTGGGATCACCCCTGAGGTCTCCCAAGGAGAAATAAAAATCTTGGAGCACGGGAAAATCGGGAAATTTGGGAACAGCAGCTTCCAAATGGAATTGGAAAAATCCTGAGTTGGGAAAAATAAGAAAAGGAGTGGTGGGAAAAATCTCCTCGAATTCCCAGAATTTTTAGGAGTTTTGGGATGAGCTTCCCTTCCCAGTCCAAGAAATCCCATTAAAAATTGGATTTTCCCATAGAAATTCTTTTTCTGGGAATTTTCCAGTGCAAAAAATAAATAAAAACCTCATCCTGAGCAAGGAAAGGAGATTTTTCCTGGGAATTATTTACAGGAAAAGGGGATTGAACTCCAACAAAAAAACCCTGAAGATGGAAATTCCAGCCCTTCCAGTGTTTTTGGGATCAGGAAAACCTCGGCTGGGGAGGAATTCTTCCCTTTAAAGGCAGCCAGGGATAAAATTCCCGCTTTTTCCAGCGAGGTTTGGTCCGGAAAATTGGGGAAAATTTGGGAAAATTCAGATTTTCCCCATGGATCAGGAGCTGTGGGAGTTTTCCTTTGCATGGAGCCGGATCCTCTGGATGTGTTCATAGCACGACTGGGGAGGGAAGAGAGGAAAAAAATCAGGGAAAAATTTGGGGAATTCTGGGATCACATCCCGGCAGAGAATCCCTGCTGATCCCAAGGAGAATTCCAACAGAATTCAATCTCTCTGGAATTAAGGATTAGGATTTTTTTCCAGCCCAGCAAGGGAATAAAATCCAAAAAATTCCATTCCAGAGAAGCTGGAATTTTGCTGGAATTCCTGGAAAAAAAATTTCCTTACCTCCAGTGTCGTCAGCAGGAAATCCAACATTCCTCCCTGGTTGGTCGGATCCATCAGATCCCGGATCAGGTGGATTTCAGCTCCCAGGTGTTGGATCCTACGGAAAAAAAAATCCCAAAATCCAGCAAAAATCTCAGGGCACGTAGAGGGGTTGGAATTTTGGAGAGGAAAACTCTGGAATTCCAGTGCTGGTGCATCTGGATCTGCTGGAGGTGTCTGGGATCTCAGAATTCCAGAATCTCTGAATCCCAGAACTCCGGAATCACAGAACCAGAGAATTCCAGAGTCACAGAATCCAAGAATTCCAGAATCCCAGAATTTCTGAACTCCAGAGTCCCAGAATCACAGAACTCCCCGTTTCCAGAATAACAGAATTCCAGAATCTCAGAATCCCAAAATTCCAGAGACCTGGAACTCCAGATTTCCAGAATCATAGAATTCCAGAGTCACAGAATCCAAGAATCGTGGAATCCCAGCATTCCAGAATTCCAGAACTCCAGATTTCCAGAATCACAGAAATCCCTATTTCCAGATTCATAGAATCCCAGAATCCCAGAATCACAGAATCCAAGAATTCCAGAATTCCAGAACTCCAGAGTCCCAGAATCATAGAACTCCAGAATCACAGAACTCCAGGTTTCCAGAAAAACAGAATTCCAGAATCTCAGAATCCCAGAATTCCAGAGTCCCGGAACTCCAGATTTCCAGAATCAGAGAATTCCAGAGTCACAGAATCCAAGAATCTCGGAATCCCAGAATCCCAGCATTCCAGATTTCCAGAACTCCAGGTTTCCAGAATCAGAGAATTCCACAATCTCAGAATCCCAGAATCCCAGAATCCCAGAGTCCTGGAACCCCAGTTTTCCAGAATCATAGAATTATGGACTCACAGAATCCAAAATATCAGAATCACAGAACTCCAGATTTCCAGAATCACAGAAATCCGTATTTCCAGATTCACAGAATTCCAGAATCACAGAATCCAAGAATTCCAGAATTCCAGAACTCCAGAATCACAGAAATCCAGCTTTCCAGAATCCCAGAATCTCCAGAATCTCAGAATTCCAGAATCACAGAACTGCAGCTTTCCAGAATCAGAGAATTCCAGAATTCTGGAATCCCAGAGTCCCAAAATCCCAGAGACCCGGAAGTCCAGATTTCCAGAATCACAGAATTCCAGAGTCACCGAATCCAAGAACCTTGGAATCCCAGAACTCCAGAATCACAGAATCATAGAATTCCAGATTTCCAGAACTCCAGATTTCCAGAATCACAGAAATCCATATTTCCAGATTCACAGAATTCCAGAATCACAGAATCCCTGAATCCCAGAATCACAGAACTCTGGAATTACAGAACTCCAGGTTTCCAGAATCATAGAATTCCAGAATTTCAGAATCCCAGAATCCTGGAACTCCAGATTTCCAGAATCATAGAATTCCAGAATCTCAGAATCCCAAAATTCCAGAACCCCAGAATTCCAGAATCCTGGAAATCCAGATTTCCAGAATCAGAGAATTCCACAATCTCAGGATCCCAGAATCCCAGAATCCCAGAGTCCTGGAACCCCAGTTTTCCAGAATCATAGAATTATGGACTCACAGAATCCAAAATATCAGAATCACAGAACTCCAGATTTCCAGAATCACAGAAATCCGTATTTCCAGATTCACAGAATTCCAGAATCACAGAATCCAAGAATTCCAGAACTCCAGAACTCCAGAATCAGAGAATTCCAGAATCTCAGAATCCCAGAATTCCAGAATTCTGGAATCCCAGAGCCCCAAAATCTCAGAGACCCGGAACTCCAGATTTCCAGAATCACAGAATTCCAGAGTCACCGAATCCAAGAATCTTGGAATCCCAGAACTCCAGAATCACAGAATCATAGAATTCCAGATTTCCAGAACTCCAGATTTCCAGAATCACAGAAATCCGTATTTCCAGATTCACAGAATTCCAGAATCACAGAATCCAAGAATTCCAGAATTCCAGAACTCCAGAATCACAGAATCATAGAAATCCAGAATCACAGAACTCCACATTTCCGGAATCAGAGAATTCCGGAGTCACAGAATCCAAGAATCTCGGAATCCCAGAATCCCAGCATTCCAGATTTCCTTTCCAGAATCATAGAATTATTCCAGAATCTCAGAATCCCGGCATTCCAGAATCCCAGAACTGCAGATTTCCAGAATCAGAGAGCTCCAGAATCACAGAATCCAAGAATCTCAGAATCCCAGAACTCCAAAATCCCAGAATCACAGAAATCCATATTTCCAGAGTCACAGAATTCCAGAGTCACAGAATCCAAGAATCTCGGAATCCCAGCATTCCAGAATCCCAGCACTCCAGAATCCTGAGATCCCAGAACTCCAGAGTGTTTGGGGCTGGGAAGCTCCTTCAGGAAAATCCATGAGCAGGGATTTCCCATTATCCCAATTTTTTCCAAGCACTTCCCACCGGGAACACCTCCAGGGATGGATCAGCCACAACTTTGGGATGCTCCATCCCAAGAAAATTCCAGATCCATCCATAGGAAATTCCAACTGCTGGATGGAATTTTGGATTCCTCATCTCCCAACAGAATCCCAGTCCCTGCTGAGGGTGGAAAATTCCTGTGGGAATTCCAGAATTCCAGAGTGTTTGGGGTTGGAAAGGTCCTTAAAGACGATCCATGGGCAGGGATCTCCCACTATCCCAACCTTCAGTGGGATAAGAGATGGAGATTCTGGAATTCTGGGATAAAACGAATCTGATTTTCCATGAAAAGCCTGGAATATCATCTGGGATAAGGCACAGACAGTCTGGAATTCTGGGATAAAAGGAATCTCATTTCCATGAAATATCCTTTGGGATAAAACATGGACTCTCTGAAATTCCAGGATAAAAGGAATCATTTTTTCCATTAAAACTCTGGAATAGCCTTTGGGATAAAAACACAGACACTTTGGAATTCTGGGATAAAAGGAATCTGATTTTCCTTTAAATATTCTTTGGGATAAAAGATGGACACGCTGGAATTCTGGGATAAAAGGAATCTGATTTCCATGAAATATCCCTTGGGATAAAACACAGATCCTCTGGAATTCCGGGATAAAAAGAATCTGATTTTCCCATTAAAACCCTGGAATTCCTCTGGGATAAGACACAGACACTCCAGAAATCTGGGATAAAAGGAACTTCATTCCCATGAAATATCCTTTGGGATAAAACACGAACACTCTGGAATTCTGAGATAAAAGGAATCTGACTTTCCATGAAAACCCTGGAACAGGGTCTGAGATAAGACACAGAGACTCCGAAATTCTGGGATAAAAGGAATCTCATTCCCATGAAATATCCTTTGGGATAAAACACGGACACTTTGGAATTCTGGGATAAAAAGAATCCCATTCCCATGAAATATTGTCTGGGATAAGCCATGGACACCTTGGAATTCTGAAGGGATTCTGATTTTCCATGAGATGTCCTTTGGGATAAGACACGGGCACTCTGGAATTCCAAGATAAAAGGAATCTGATTTTCCATTAAATATCCTTTGGGATAAGGCACAGACGCCCTGGAATTGTGGGATAAAAGGAATCTGATTTTCCATGAAATATTGTCTGGGACAAGACCTGGACACTTTAGAATTCTGGGATGAAAGGAATCTGATTTTCCATTAAATATTGTCTGGGATAAGACACGGGCACTCTGGAATTCTGGGATAAAAGGAATCCCATTCCCATGAAATATCCTTTGGGATAAAACACAGACACTCTGGAATTGTGGGATAAAATGAATCTGATTTTCCATGAAAATCCTGGAAGAGGGTCTGAGATAAGACACAGAGACTCCGAAATTCTGGAATAAAAGGAATCTCATTCCCATGACATAATCGTTGGGATAAAAGATGGACAGTCTGGAATTCTGGAATAAAGAGAATCTCATTTCCACGAAATATCCTTTGGGATAAAACACAGACACTCCAGAATTCTGGGACAAAAGGAATCTGATTTTCCTTTAAATATTCTTTGGGATAAAACACGAACACTCCAGAATTCCACCCGCACTTTACATCCCAAAAACCCAACCGCGCCTCTAGGAAAAAAACAACACCAAAAACCCCAACACATCCAACCGCAAATCCCGAAAGTTTTCATTGGAATTCTTCCGGTTGGAAACATTCCAGAGGGAACGAACTCCACTCACTTGGCTCGGGACACGACGAACACGAGGAGCGGCAGGAGGTCGTCCATGGGCAGCCGGTACTCGGCGCCGCGCAGCCGCGACACCGTCAGCTCCAGCTCCTCGTACGTCCTGCGCAGGATCTCCAGCTTCTCCCGCGGGTCCACCGTCGTGCTGGGGGGGGAAAACAAACATGGAAAAGCTGCCTCTGGAAAAACGGGGTTTAGGAAAAAAAATTAGGGATGAAAGGATTGATGGGTTGGTTCCAAAGGGTGGAGGAAAGAGAAGGAACAAGAGCCAGGGCCAGGAGATGTTCCAGGCTGGAATGGGACATTCTTGGTGTTTCCAGTATTGGATGGGACATTCCAGGTGTCTCCCATATGGACTGGGACATTCCTGGTCTCTCTCATATGGAATGGGACATTCCTGGGATCTCCCATATTGAATGGGACATTCCTGGAGATCCTCTTCTGGAGGATCTCCAGCTTCTCCTGCGGGTCCACCGTCGTGCTGGGGGGGGGAAAAACAAACGTGGAAAAGCTGCACCCGGAAAAACGGGGTTTAATTAAAAAAAATATAAATTAAGGGATTAAGGGATTTCAGGAGATTTGGAGTTCGTGGATTGGCTCCAAAGGGTGGAGGAAAGAGGAGGCACCAAGAGAAGCCAGGGACAGGAGATGTCCCAATGGGTGAATGGGACATTCCTGGTGTTTCCAATGTTGGACGGGACATTCCTGGTGTCTCTCATATGGAATTGGACGTTCCTGGTGTCTCCCATATGGAATTGGACGTTCCTGGTGTCTGTCATATGGAATTGGACATTCCTGGGATCTCCAGGCTGGAATGGGATATTCTTGGTGTTTCCAATATTGGATGGGACATTCCAGGTGTCTCCCATATGGACTGGGACATTCCTGGTCTCTCTCATATGGAATGGGACATTCCTGCGATCTCCCATATTGAATGGGACATTCCTGGAGATCCTCTTCTGGAGGATCTCCAGCTTCTCCCGCGGGTCCACCGTCGTGGAAAAGCTGCACCCGGAAAAACGGGGTTTAATTAAAAAAAATATAAATTAAGGGATTAAGGGATTTCAGGAGATTTGGAGTTCATGGATTGGCTCCAAAGGGTGGAGGAAAGAGGAGGCACCAAGAGAAGCCAGGGACAGGAGATGTCCCAATGGGTGAATGGGACATTCCTGGTGTTTCCAATGTTGGATGGGACATTCCTGGTGTCTCTCATATGGAATTGGACGTTCCTGGTGTCTGTCATATGGAATTGGACGTTCCTGGTGTCTGTCATATGGAATGGGACATTCCTGGGATCTCTAATAGTAGATGGGACATTCCTGGTGTCTCCCATATGGAATTGGACATTCCTGGTGTCTCCCATATGGAATTGGACATTCCTGGGATCTCCAGGCTGGAATGGGATATTCTTGGTGTTTCCAATATTGGATGGGACATTCCAGGTGTCTCCCATATGGACTGGGACATTCCTGGTCTCTCTCATATGGAATGGGACATTCCTGGGATCTCCCATATTGAATGGGACATTCCTGGAGATCCTCTTCTGGAGGATCTCCAGCTTCTCCCGCGGGTCCACCGTCGTGCTGGGGGGGGGAAAACAAACGTGGAAAAGCTGCACCCGGAAAAACGGGGTTTAATTAAAAAAAATATAAATTAAGGGATTAAGGGATTTCAGGAGATTTGGAGTTCGTGGATTGGCTCCAAAGGGTGGAGGAAAGAGGAGGCACCAAGAGAAGCCAGGGACAGGAGATGTCCCAATGGGTGAATGGGACATTCCTGGTGTTTCCAATGTTGGACGGGACATTCCTGGTGTCTCTCATATGGAATTGGACGTTCCTGGTGTCTCCTGTATGGAATTGGACACTCCTGGTGTCTGTCATATGGAATTGGACATTCCTGGGATCTCCAGGGTGGAATGGGACATTCTTGGTGTTTCCAATATTAGATGGGACATTCCAGGTGTCTCCCATATGGGTTGGGACATTCCAGGTGTCTCCCATATGGACTGGGACATTCCTGGGATCTCCCATATTGAATGGGACATTCCAGGAGATCCTCTTCTGGCGGATCTCCAGTTTCTCACGCGGATCCACCGTGGTGCTATGGGGGTAATAGAGGGGGTAAAAGCTGCACCCGGAAAAACGGGGTTTAGGAAAAAAAAATTAGGGATGAAAGGATTGATGGGTTGGCTCCAAAGGGTGGAGGAAAGAGGAGGCACTGAGGTTGGGCGAGAAGATATTCCAGGGTGGAATGGGACATTCCAGAGATCTCCAATATTGGATTGGACATTCCTGGTGCCTCAAATATGGAATGGGACATTCCTGGGATTTCCCATGTGGAATGGGACACTCCTGGTGTCTCCTGTATGGAATGGGACATTCCTGGGATCTCCCAAGTGGAATGGGACATTCCTGGTGTCTCCCATATGGAATTGGACACTCCTGGTGTCTCCTGTATGGAATGGGACATTCCTGGGATCTCCCAAGTGGAATGGGACATTCCTGGGATTTCCCATATGGAATGGGACATTCCTGGTGTCTCTCAAATATTAAATTAGACATTCCTGGAGATCGTCTTCCGCAGGATCTCCAGTTTCTCACGCAGATCCACTGTGGTGCTATGGGGGTAATAGAGGGGGTAAAAGCTGCACCCAGAAAAACGGGGTTTAGGAAAAAAAAATTAGGGATGAAAGGATTGATGGGTTGGCTCCAAATGGCGGAGGAAAGAGGAGGCACCAAGAGAAGCCAGGGACAGGAGATGTTCCAGGGTGGAATGGGACACTCCTGGTGTCTCCCATATCAGACAGGACATTCCTGGTGTCTCAAATACGGAATGGGACATTCCTGGTGTCTCCCATATCAGACAGGACATTCCTGGTGTCTCCCATATCAGACAGGACATTCCTGGTGTCTCAAATATGGAATGGGACATTCCTGGTGTCTCAAATACGGAATGGGACATTCCTGGTGTTTCCAATACAGAATGGGACACTCCCGGTGTTTCCAATACAGAATGGGACATTCCTGGGATCTCCCATATGGAATGGGACACTCCTGGTGTTTCCAATACAGAATGGGACATTCCTGGGATCTCCCATATGGAATGGGACATTCCCGGTGTTTCCAATACAGAATGGGACACTCCTGGTGTTTCCAATACAGAATGGGACATTCCTGGGATCTCCCATATGGAATGGGACATTCCTGGTGTTTCCAATATTGGATGAGATGTTCCTGGTGTCTCCCAAGTGGAATGGGACATTCCTAGAGATCCTCTCCTAAAGGATTTCCAGCTTCTCCCTGGGATCCACTGTGGTGCTGTCGGGGTAAAAGAGCCGTGGAAAAGCTGCATCTGGAAAAACGGGGTTTAATTTAAAAAAAATTAAATTAGGGATTAAGGGATTTCGGGAGATTTGGAGTTCATGAATTGGCTCCAAAGGGTGAAGGAAAGAGGAGGCACCAAGAGCCAGTGCCAGGAGATATTCCAGGGTGGAATGGGACATTCCTGGGATCTCCAATATTGGATGGGACATTGCTGGTGTCTCCAATATGGGATGGGACATTCCTGTCCATTTTCCCCAGGGTGGAATTCCTGGTATCTCCAAGGTGGATCCCATCCCACTGATCGACTCAAACTCTTGGGATGCTCCACTGGATGGATGACCCTCCTGGAGCTCAAATCCAGAGGAACAGGCTCTGGAATGCCAGGATATCCCAGCCAAGCCAAATCTGCCCTCCAGGTGACAACAGTGAATTCCCTTTGATGCAAGATTTTGTGTGGAATCATCACTCTGGAATGGTTTAGGGTTGGAAGAGACCTTAAGGAACATCTCATCCCATTCCATGGGCAGGGACATGTCCCACTATCCCAGGATTCTCCAAACCCAGTCCAACCTTTCCTTGGACACTTCAAAGGATCCAGGGACAACCACAGCTCCTCTGGGAATTCCATCCCAGCCCCTCCCCATTCCCACAGGGAAAATTCCTTCCCAAGCTTCTTTTCCAGCTGGAGAAGGAAAGGCAGAGCTGGGGGAAGGCAACTTGGAGGAGTGGGAACGTTCCCAGAAAAGCCAAGGGCTACTAAAGGATCCCAAATCCAACATGGAATAATCCCAACCCAAATCCCACTCCAGGTCTGACTGTAGGAGCTGCTCCAGAGCCATTTTCCACAGGGAGAAAACATGGAATGGTTTGGGTGGGAAGGGACCCTAAGGATGATCCCATTCCATGGCCAAGGACAATTCCCACTGTCCCAGGCTGCTCCTGGCCTTGGGCACTGCCAGGGATCCAGGGGCAGCCACAGCTGCTCTGGGAATTCCATCCCAGCCAGGAATTCCTGCCCAGGGAATATCTGTGGGAAGTGAAGATGCTGAGCAGGAAATTGCTGGATTTCATTATGGATGCCTTCATGAAATTTTGGAGGGAAAAATTCCATGGAATTCACTTTGAACCAGAAAGAACATCCCAAACAACTTTTCCTTAAATAATGAATGGAATGGCCCAGGAATGCTTTTGAAACAGGTACAAATTCCTGGCATTCCCCAAAAAAAAAAAAAAAAACCTGGATTTGAGTGGGAAGAGCCGGACAGGGACTCACATGAGCTTCTGCAGGCACTCGGTGGCTGACAGGAAACATTTGTCCTTGATCAGGGAGCGCCTCTGGAAAAGAGACAGGGATACCTTTGGAATACCGGGGGCAGAGATTCCAGAGCCATCCCACAAAACCTCCATGGAAATCCACGGGCAGAGCCTCCGGATGGGAGCTGATCATGGAGCTCGGATTCCTGGGATTCGCTGGGAGAAGCTCTGTCCCCATCCAAGCCCAATTCCATGTCCCGTTCCCATTCCCGGCTGGCTCCGAGCATTTTCCTTACCTGGTTGGAGGTCAGGGTGAGGTCTTTGAGAGGCCACAGGTGCCTGGAAAGGGAAAAGCAGGAATTAGGATGGATTCCATCCTGAATCCCATCAGTTCTCCCATCTCCTCATCCAAGGCGCTGCCAAAGCCTCGGAGGCTCCGCTTGCTCCTCTCCTGGCCCTGCTCCAGGTGGGATTTGCCTCAGGAACCTGGGAGCTCCCATCCCATGGATCCACTTCCCTGGGAGCTCCCATCCCATGGATCCACTTCCATGGGAGATCCCATTCCAGGGATCCACCTCCCTGGGTGCCTCCATGCCATGGATCCAATTCCCTGGGAATTCCAGCCCATGGATCCACTTCCATCAGAGCTCCATTCCATGGATCCACTTCCCTGGGAGCTCCCATTCCATGGATCCACTTCCCTGGGAGCTCCCATCCCATGGATCCACTTCCATGGGAGATCCCATTCCAGGGATCCACTTCCATGGGAGATCCCATTCCAGGGATCCACCTCCCTGGGTGCCTCCATGCCATGGATCCAATTCCCTGGGAATTCCAGCCCATGGATCCACTTCCATCAGAGCTCCATCCCATGGATCCAATTCCCTGGGAGCTCCCATCCCATGGATCCACTTCCCTCAGTTCCCATCCCATGGATCCACTTCCCTGGGAGATCCCATTCCAGGGATCCACTTCCCTGGGAGCTCCCATCCCATGGATCCACTTCCATGGGAGATCCCATTCCAGGGATCCACCTCCCTGGGTGCCTCCATGCCATGGATCCAATTCCCTGGGAATTCCAGCCCATGGATCCACTTCCATCAGAGCTCCATTCCATGGATCCACTCCTATCAGAGCTCCCATCCCCTGGATCCACTTCCCTGGGAATTCCATCCCCTGGATCCACTTCCCTGGAAGCCTCCATTCCCATGGATCCATTTCCCTGGGTGCCTCCATCCCCATGGATCCACTTCCATCAGAGGACCCATCCCATGGATCCACTTCTCTCCATGCCACTTCCCTGGAAACCTCCATCCCCATGGATCCATCTCCCAGGGAGTTTCCATCCCATGGATCCACTTTCCTCCATCCTATGGATCCACTTCCCTGGGAGATCCCATCCCATGGATCCACTTCCCTCAGGGATCCCATCCCATGGATCCACTTCCCTGGGAGATCCCATTCCATGGATCCACTTCCATCAGAACTCCATCCCATGGATCCACTTTTCTCCATTTCATGGATCCACTTCCCTGGTGCCTCCATCCCATGGATCCACTTCCCTGAGAGCTCCCATCCCATGGATCCATTTCCATCAGAGCTCCCATCCCATGGATCCACTTCCCTGGGAGCTCCCATCCCACGGATCCACTTCCCTGGGAGCTCCCATCCCACGGATCCACTTCCCTCCATCCCATGGATCCCCCTCCCTGGCAGCCTTCGTCCCATGGATCCACTTCCCTGGGAGCTCCCATCCCCTGGATCCACTCCTATCAGAGCTCCCATCCCATGGATCCACTTCCCTGGGTGCCTACATCCCCATGGATCCATATCCCTGGGAGCTCCCATTCCATAGATCCAATTCCCTGGGAATTCCAGCCCATGGATCCAGTTCCCTCCATCCCATGGATCCCCCTCCCTGGCAGCCTTTGTCCCATGGATCCACTTCCCTGGGAGCTCCCATTCCATGGATCCACTCCTATCAGAGCTCCCATCCCATGGATCCCCTTCCCTGGGAATTCCATCCCATGGATCCACTTCCCTGGGAGCTCCCATCCCATGGATCCACTTCCCTGGGAATTCCATCCCATGGATCCCCTTCCCTGGGAGTTCCCATCCCATGGATCCACTTCCCTCAGTTCCCATCCCATGGATCCCCTTCCCTGGGAATCCCATCCCATGGATCCACTTCCCTGGGAGTTCCCATCCCATGGATCCACTTCCCTCAGTTCCCATCCCATGGATCCACTTCCCTGGGAGCTCCCATCCCATGGATCCCCTTCCCTGGGAGATCCCATCCCATGGATCCACTCCTATCAGAGCTCCCATTCCATGGATCCACTTCCCTGGGAGTTCCCATCCCCACGGATCCACTTCCCTGGGAGTTCCCATCCCATGGATCCACTCCTATCAGAGCTCCCATCCCATGGATCCCCTTCCCTGGGAGATCCCATCCCATGGATCCCCTTCCCTGGGAATTCCATCCCATGGATCCCCTTCCCTGGGAATCCCATCCCATGGATCCCCTTCCCTGGGAGATCCCATCCCATGGATCCACTTCCCTGGGAATTCCATCCCATGGATCCACTTCCCTGGGAGCTCCCATCCCATGGATCCACTTCTATCAGAGCTCCCATTCCATGGATCCACTTCCCTGGGAGTTCCCATCCCCACGGATCCACTTCCCTGGGAGTTCCCATCCCATGGATCCACTTCCATCAGAGGTCCCATCCCATGGATCCCCTTCCCTGGGAATCCCATCCCATGGATCCCCTTCCCTGGGAGATCCCATCCCATGGATCCCCTTCCCTGGGAGATCCCATCCCATGGATCCCCTTCCCTGGGAATCCCATCAGAGTTTGCATTCCTCAGGGATGATCCTGGGACAATCCATGAGAAATTTTGGCACTTTTGGATCCAACTCCTCTCATTTCTTTTGGATGGAATCCAATTGAGACCCTGGACCTGCTGCGCTCCTGAAATCCCAGAGGAAAATTCCCAAGCTGCTTCCCATCACTTCCAGAGGTGGATCCAGGAGCAGGAATGGATGAGGGAAACATCTGCCTCCACTTTTTCCATCTTTTCAGTGGATATTCCCACATTTTAACAGGGAATACCATGGAATGAACATTCCTTTTCCAAGATATTTAACAATTCCAGCTGATTTGGAGAAAAAAATTTGGGAATTTTCCACACAAAAATGAGGATTAGCAGGGATAACAGCAGCTTTCCAGTACCAATTCTCCTTCCAACCAAACATTCCCAAGTAGAAATTCTGGGAGAAATTCCAGTGAAAAACTGGGAAAAACCAATGCTGGATTCAACAACAACTCAACCTTTCTGGGATTTTCCCAGGGGATGGAAAAATCCCGCTTACTTCTGCACATCCAGGAACTCCAGGAGCTGGATATCCGGGTAGAGGCTGAGCTCCACGATTCCCTGGCAGTAGAGCTCGTCCTCGCGCTGGTGCTGGAGCATGTAGAGCATGGAGAGCTCGGGATAGAATCCGGGCAGGATCAGCGGCAGCACCAGGCTGGGGCCCTTCCCGAGACTGGAAAACAGGGAAAAAACCTGGGATTTTCCAGGGAAATCCATGTGGATATTCCCAAACCTATGAGGGCATTTCTGAGGAATTCTCCTTGTTTTCCGCTCTTCCGAGTTTGGCATGGTTGGGTTGTGGTGGCCACGAGTTGGTCCAAGAGGGTCTGGTGCTCCAGGAGATCTCCAGGGAATTCACTGGGAGAAACCTGGAGCTCAAGGTGATCTCCAGGGAATTCACTGGGAGAAACCTGGAGCTCAGTATCTCTGGAGTCATCAGGAAAAACCTGGAGCTCCAGGAGATCTTTGGAGTCCCTGGGAAAACCAGGAGCAGGAGGGGATCTCCAGGAAATTCACTGGGATAAACCCGGAGCTCCACAAGATCTTTGGAGTCCCTGGGAAAATCTGGAGCTCCAGGAGATCTTGGAGTCACCAGGAAAACCTGGAGCTCCAGGAGATGTCCAGGGACTTTACTGGGAGAAACCTGGAGCTCCAGATCTCCAGAGTCATCAGGAAAAACCTGAAGCTCCACGAGATGTATGGAGTCCCTGGGAAAATCTGGAGCAGCAAGAGATCTCCAGGAAATTCACTGGGAGAAACCTGGAGATCCAAATCTCCGGAGTCACCAGGAAAACCTGGAGCTCCAGACCTCCAGAGTCCCAGGAAAAACTTGGAGCTCCAGGAGAATGTTTGGAGCCGCTGGGAAAAACCTGGAGCTCCAGGAGATTTCGAGGAAATTCACTGGAAAAAAACCAGGAGCTCAAGATCTCTGGAGTCATCAGGAAAACCTGGAGCTCCAGGGGATCTTTGGAGCCACTGGGAAAACCTGGAGCAGCAGGAGATGTCCAAGAAATTCAGTGGGAGAAACCGGGAGCTCCAGATCTCTGGAATCACCAGGAAAACCTGGAGCTCCAGATCTCCAGAGTCATCAGGAAAAACCTGAAGCTCTATGAGATGTTTGGAGTCCCTGGGAACATCTGGAGCAGCAGGAGATCTCCAGGAAATTCACTGGGATAAACCCGGAGCTCCACAAGATCTTTGGAGTCCCTGGGAAAACCTGGAGCTCCAGGAGATCTTGGAGTCACCAGGAAAACCTGGAGCTCCAGGAGATGTCCAGGAAATTCACTGGGAGAAACCTGGAGCTCCAGATCTCCAGAGTCCTTGGGAAAACCTGGAGCAGCAGGAGACCTTCAGGAAATTCATTGGGAAAAACCAAGAGCTCCAGATCTCTGGAGTTACCAGGAAAATCCTGGAGCTCCGGGAGAGCTCCAAAGTCACTGGGAAAACCTGGAACAGCAGGAGATCTCCAGGAAATTCACTGGGAGAAACCTGGAGCTCCAGATCTCCAGAGTCCCAGAAAAAACCTGGAGCTCCAGGAGAATGTTTGGAGCCGCTGGGAAAAACCGGGAACAGCAGGAGATGTCCAAGAAATTCACTGGGAGAAACCTGGAGCTCCAGATCTCCAGAGTCACCAGGAAAACCTGGAGCTCCAGATCTCCATGGGATGGGAGCTCCAATGGAAGTGGAGTCACCAGGAGAAACCTGGAGATCTTTGGAGGCACTGGGAAAAACCTGAGCGCTAATCCTGGCTCAAACAAAGGCTGGGCACTAATCCTGGCTCAAGCAGACAAACACGAGCCCAGCGCTTCCCGAATTCCACGACCCCTCATAAATCCCACCGGGATCCGAACACGGAACCTCCGGAGGCGCCACCAACCTGGGATCCGCATCCTCCGAGGGCGCGCGGCCCTTCCGCTCCAGGGCCACCCGCAGCAAACCCCTGGAGAGAAAAAACAAGGATCAGCTCCTTCCTCGGTTTATTGAAGGATAATTTGTTCCCAAAGGAGGCGCTGTCCCGGCACCCAGTGGGAGATCAGTGAAAATCCCTGGAATTCCGGCAGAGCGGTTGCAGTGTTTGAGGGGTTTCTGCTGGAGCAGCAGAAGCACCAGGAACGGCTGAGAATTCCAGAATTTCCATGGATTCTAAAGAGCACAGTGGTGACAATTCCCGATCCCACTGTGGAAAAGCAGCTGGGCTTTGTCGTGATGTCCCAGCGAATCCTGGAATGGTTCAGGTTGGATTTTAGGAAGGAATTCCTGGCTGGGATGGAATTCCCAGAAAATCTGTGGCTGCCCCTGGATCCCTGGAAGTGTCCAAGGAGAGGTTGGACGGGGCTTGGAGCACCCTGGGATAGCAGGAAGGGATTGGAGCTGGATGAGATTTCCAACCCAAAGCATTCCAGGATCCCATTTTTCCTTCAGTCGTGGATTTCCAGCCACGGGGATTTGTGCTCTGATTGACGCTGTCACCTTGAGGAAGGAACTCTGCCAGGAACTCCCAAAGGCTCCCAAGAACTCCTAAAGACTCCCAGGAACTCCAAAGAGCTCCCAAGAATTACAAAGAGCTCCAAAGAATTCTGAAGAACTCCCAAAAGCTCCCAAAAATTCCCAAAAATTAGAAAGAACTGCCAAGAATTCTGAAGAATTCTCAAGAATTACAAAGAGCTCCCAAGAACTCCAAAGAATTCCCAAGAACTGCTAAGAATTCCAAAGAATTCCGAAGAATTCCCAAGAACTCCCAAGAATTCCAAAGAATTCCCAAGAACTCCCAGAGAACTCCCAGAGAACTCCCAATTACAAAGAACTCACAAGAACTTACAAGAATTACAAAGAGCTCCCAAGAATTTGGAAGAACTCCCAAGAATTACAAAGGACTCCCAAGAATTCTGAAGAATTCCCAAGAGTTTCAAAGAACTCCCAAGAATTCTCAAGAATTCCAAAGAATTAAAAAGAACTCCCAAGAACTCTGAAGAATTCCCATGAATTCCAAAGTACTCCCAAGAATCTCAAAGAATTCCCATGAATTCCAAAGTACTCCCAAGAATTTCAAAGAACTCCCAAGAATTCTGAAGAATTCCCAAGAATTCGGAAGAACTCCCAAGAATTCGGAAGAACTCCCAAGAATTCCCAAGAATTACAAAGAGCTCCCAAGAATTCTGAAGAATTCCCATGAATTTCAAAAAATTCCCAAGAATTCCAGACTACTCTCAAGAACTCCCAAGAGCTCCCAAGAATTCCAAAGAATTCCAAAGAATTCCAAAGTACTCCCAAGAATTCCCATGAATTCTCAAGAATTACAAAGAGCTCCCAAGAATTCCCATGAATTCCAAACAATTCCAAAGAATTCCCAAGAATTCCGAAGAACTCCCTCCCAAGAATTCTGAGGAACTCCCAAGAATTCCCAAGAATTCCAAAGAGCTCCCAAGAATTCCCAAGAATTCTGAAGAATTCCCAAGAATTCCCAAGCATTCCCAAGAATTACAAAGAGCTCCCAAGAATTCCCAAGAATTCAGAAGAATTCCCAAGAATTCCCAAGAATTCAGAAGAATTCCCAAGAATTACAAAGAGCTCCCAAGAATTCCCAAGAATTCAGAAGAATTCCCAACAATTACAAAGAGCTCCCAAGAATTCCCATGAATTCTGAAAAATTCCCAAGAATTACAAAGAGCTCCCAAGAATTCCCAAGAATTCAGAAGAATTCCCAAGAATTACAAAGAGCTCCCAAGAATTCCCATGAATTCAGAAGAATTCCCAAGAATTCAGAAGAACTCCCAAGAATTCCAAAGAATTCCCAAGAACCTGCGAAGAATTCTCTAGAATTGCCAAAAGAACTCCCAAAAAAACTCCCAAGAATTCTGAAAAATTCCCAAGAATTACAAAGAGCTCCCAAGAATTCCCAAGAATTCAGAAGAATTCCCAAGAATTCCCAAGAATTCAGAAGAATTCCCAAGAATTCTCAAGAATTCAGAAGAATTCCCAAGAATTACAAAGAGCTCCCAAGAATTCGGAGGAAGTCCCAAAGAAGTCCCAAAGAGGTCTCAAAGAAGTCCCAAGAATTACAAAGAGCTCCCAAGAATTCTGAAGAAATCCCAAGAATTACAAAGAACGCCCAAGAATTCCCAAGGACTCCCAAGAATTCCCAAGAATTCCCAAGGACTCCCAAGAATTCCCAAGAATTCCCAAGGACTCCCAAGGATTCCAAAGAATTCCCAAGGACTCCCAAGAATCCCCAAGAACGCCCGAGAAAACAGGAGCACAAATCAGCCCCAGCTCCAAATCCCACGATCCCGAACCCCCATCCCACGCTCGCACCCCTCGGCACAGCTCCCTCTGGACTCACCGGTAGAATTCCCAGATTTTCCTGGAGTAGAACTTGACCTCCTCCTGCGCCATGGCCAGCAGGTGCCGGCTGGCGCCGACGCCCGAATACGTCGCCCGGAACGCCGCGGTCACAGCCCGGAGCAGCTTCCCCAAGGGATGCAGGGGAGATTCCAACGCCTGGAAATTCCGATTTCACGGATCAGGAGGAGAGGGAAAACCCCGAAAGGGCACCTGGATTTCTCCTGGGATTCTTGATGATTCAATTCTTGATTATAATTTCTAGAATGAATTTTTCCCTCGCCCACTTTTGCCTGGAGCACCTTTTGTTCCCTCTGGAATATCCCAGCAAATCCCAACTGGAGAAGGGATCAGGGAGCATTTAAGACCCCAAATTCCAGCTGGGAATATATCATATATGATTATATAATTAAAAAATTGAATAATAAAGAATTTATATAATAAATTTTTCCCTGGAGCACCTTTTGTGGCCTCTGGAATATCCCAGCAAATCCCAACTGGAGAAGGGATCAGGGAGCATTTAAGACCCCAAATTCCAGCTGGGAATATATCATATATGATTATATAATTAAAAAATTGAATAATAAAGAATTTATATAATAAATTTTTCCCTGGAGCACCTTTTGTGGCCTCTGGAATATCCCAGCAAATCCCAACTGGAGAAGGGATCAGGGAGCATTTAAGATCCCAAATTCCAGCTGGGAATTATAGAAATTTATTTTTTTTCTATAATTTTTTCTTTCTATTTTTTCTATTTTTTTTTTATTTTTTCTTTCTATTTTTTCTATTTTTTTTTTCTATTTTTTTTCTATTTTTATAAGATCCCCATTTTTATTAATTAAAAATGATTATATAATTATAATCATAATTATAGTTACGATTATATAATGATTTAATTATTGAAATAATAAAAAATGATTATATAATTATTATTTCATTATTTAATTAAAAAATGATTATATAATTAAAAAGATTCAATTTTTAATTATATAATCATATGTTATATATTCCCAGCTGGGATTTGGGATCTTAATTAGAAAGAAAAAATAGAAAAAAAATTTGGAAAAAAAAATTAGAAAAAATAGAAAAAAATTAAAAAAACGATAGAAGAAATAGAAAGAAAAAATAATAAAAAAAAATAGAAAAAATAGAAAGAAAAAATTATAGAAAAAAAAAATTTTCTATAATTCCCAGCTGGAATTTCGGATCTTCGGGATGCCTTAAATGCTCCCTGATCCCTTCTCCAGTTGGGATTTGCTGGGATATTCCAGAGGCAACAAAAGGTGCTCCAGGGAAAAGTGGGTGAGGGAAAAATTCATTCTAGAAATTCTTTATTATTCCATTTTTAATTATATAATCATATGTTATATATTTTTAAAGTCAATTCTCTATTTTTAATAAATTCTTTATTATTAAATTCTCCATTTATTTTCAAATTCTGTATTACTACATTTTCCAGTATATAATTATATGGTTTTAAAATAAATTTTCTATTATTAAATTTTCTATTTACTAATAACGTCTCTATTATTAAAATCTCAATTTATTATTAAATTATTCATTACTAAAATCTCTATTATGTAAATTCTCTATTTAGTATGAAATTATCTATTATTCTCTATCATGAAATTCTTTATAAAATTCTCTATTGTTAAAATATTTATTACATTAAATTCTCTATTATTCTCTATATTATTATTCCCTATTTATAATAAAAATCTCCATAATTAAATTCTCTTTTTATTAATACACTCTTAATTATCAAACTTTATATGCATTGTTACATTATTATTAAATTCTCTATTTATTATTAAATTATTTTTTAAGTGCTCTAAGAAATATTAAATTTTTTATTATTAAATTTCCCATTTATTATATAAATTCTGTATTTACTAGTGAATTCTCTATTATTAAATCCCCTTTTTTATTAATAATTCTCCATTTGTTATATAAAGTCTCTATTATTAATTTTATAATTCAACATCAAATTTATTATTAAATGCTTTAGTATCAAATTGGCTATTTATTATTAAATTCTCAATTATTATTAAATTCTCTGTTATATAAATTTTCTATTATTAAATTTTCTTTTCATTATTAAATTCCCTATAAATTCTCTATTATTAAATTATCTATTATACTAAATTCTCCATTATTAAATTCCCTATTTATTAAAGCTCCATAATTAAATTGTCTATTTATTATTAAACTCTCTATTTATTATTAAATGCTTTATTTTTAAATTCTCTATTTATTAATAAATTCTCTGTTTATTATTAAATTATCTATTATTAAATTCCCTGTTTATAATATAAACTTCTTATTTCTTATTAAATTCTCCATTATTAAATTTCCTTTATTTAATATAAATTCCTTTGTTATAAATAAATTCCTCATTTAAAATATAATTTACAATATATTTATAATATAAATTGATATTTTTATAATATTTATATTATAACATAAATTCTTTATTATTTAATTCTCTATTTGTTAATAAATTCTCTACTATGAAATTATTTCTTTGATAAATCCTCTGTTATTCAATTTATTTATTTTATTTATTTATTCAATTTATTCATCATCAAATCCTGGATTTTGATCATTTTAATAATTAAAATTTTATTAATTTTTGATGATTTTATTGAATAATTTCAGTCCTCACCTTCTCCAAATAACTCTGGAGCGACTCTGGCTCCTGGTGCTCAACGAGATCTTCCAGGATCTCCTCGATTTTCCAGGAAAACTCCTCAGAACCTCTGGAAAAACGGGAATTGAGGAATGAATGGATAAATCCCAACTGGCAAATTCCCAAGGGGCACTAAAATAATTTCAACAAATTCATTTCTCGTGGATGTGGATGAATCTCAGCAGCAAAAATTCCAGCTGAGGTGGGAAATTCCTGCTCCTTTTTCCTGAGCGGGAACAACTGGAAAATCCTTGGAATTGCACAACATTCCTGGGTGGGAATGCGGGTCTGCATTCCCAACAGGAATTCCCGGGATTTCCTCTTGGACAGAGCAGGAATTCCCGGGATTTCCTCAGTAAAAGTTCCCTGGCACAACAGGAATTCCCGGGATTCCCCTTTTGGCAGAACAGGAATTCCCAGGATTTTCTCTTTGGGGGAAAAGGAATTCCTGGGATTTCCTCTTACACAGAGAAGGAATTCCCGGGATTTCCTCTTACACAGAGCAGGAATTCCCAGGATTTCCTCAGTAAAAGTTCCCTGGCACAACAGGAATTCCCGGGATTCCCCTTTTGGCAGAACAGGAATTCCCAGGATTTTCTCTTTGGGGGAAAAGGAATTCCTGGGATTCCGACATTGGCAAAACAGGAATTCCCAGGATTTTCTCTTTGGGGGAAAAGGAATTCCTGGGATTTCCTCTTGGACAGAGCAGGAATTCCCAGGATTTTCTCTTTGGGGGAAAAGGAATTCCCGGGATTTCCTCTTACACAGAGCAGGAATTCCCAGGATTTCCTCGGTAAAAGTTCCCTGGCACAACAGGAATTCCCGGGATTCCCCTTTTGGCAGAGCAGGAATTCCCAGGATTTTCTTTTTGGGAGAACAGGAATTCCTGGGATTCCCTCATTGAAAGGACAGGAATTCCCAGAATTCCCTCAGTAAAATTCCTGTTCCTTTGGGAGAACAGGAATTCCTGGGATTCCGACATTGGCAGAACAGATATTCCCGATTTCCTCAGGAATCCCCAGGATTTCCTCAGGAATTCCCAGGATTCCCTCAGTACCTCTGGCAGAACAGGAATTCCCTGAATTTCCTCATTTGAAGAACAGAATATTCCCAGGATTTCCTCACAAATTCCCGGGATTATCTCTTTGGCAGAACAGAAATTTCCAGGATTTCCTCAGGGATTCCTGGGATTCCCTCGGTACCTTTGGCAGACCAGGAATTCCCAGGATTTCTTCTTCAGCAGAAGAGGAATTCCCAGGATTCCCTCATTGTCAGAAGAGGAATTCCCGGGATTTTCTCTTTGGCAGAACAGGAATTCCCTGGATTTCCTCAGTGATTCCCAGGATCCCCTCAGTGGCATAACAAATATTCCCAGGATTTCCTCAGGAATTCCTGGAATTCCCTCAGTAAAAGTTCCTGTTCCTTTGGCAGAACAGGAAATCCCGGGATTTCCTCAGGGATTCCCAGGATTTCCTCATTGGAAGAACAGAATATTCCCAGGATTTCCTCAGGAATTTCCAGGATTCTCTTTGGCAGAACAGGAATTCCCTGGATTTCCTCAGGGATTCCCTGGGTTCCCTCATTGGCAGAAAAAATATTCCTTGGATTTCTTCACGGATTCTCGGGATTCCCTCATTGGCAGAACAGATATTCCCAGGATTTCCTCAGGAATTCCCAGGATTCCCTCAGTACCTCTGGCAGAACAGGAATTCCTGGGATTTCCTCATTGGAAGAACAGAAATTTCAAGGATTTCCTCAGGAATTCCCGGGATTTCCTCTTTGGTGGAACAGGAATTCCTGGGATTCCCTCATTGACAGGACAGGAATTCTTGGGATTTCCTCAGGGATTCCTGGGATTTCCTCAGTACCTTTGGCAGAACAGGAATGCCCAGGATTCTCTCTTTGGCAGAACAGATATTCCCAGGATTCCCTCAGGAATTCCCAGGATTCCCTCAGTACCTCCGGCAGAACAGGAATTCCCTGGATCTCCTCAGGGATTCCTGGGATTCTCTCATTGTCAGAACAGAAATTCCCAGGATTTCCTCAGGGATTCCCAGAATTCCCTCATTGTCAGAACAGATATTCCCAGGATTTCTTCAGGGATTCCTGGGATTTCCTCATTGGAAGAACAGAATATTCCTAGGATTTATTTCCTCAGGAATTCCCTGGATTCCCTCATTGGCAGAACAGGAATTCCCAGGATTTCCTCAGGAATTCCCAGGATTCCCTCAGTACCTCTGGCAGAACAGCTGTTCCTGGGATTTGCTCAAGAATTCCCTGGATTTCCTCAGGGATTCTCGGGATTCCCTCATTGGCAGAACAGATATTCCTGGGATTCCCTCAGGGATTCCTGGGATTTCCTCACTACCTTTGGCAGACCAGCAATTCCCAGAATTTCTTCTTCAGCGGAACAGGAATTCCGGAATTCCCTCAGTAAAAGTTCCTGTTCCTTTGGCAGGACAAGAATTCCCAGGATTTCATCAGGAATTCCCTGGATTCCCTCATTGGCAGAAAAAATATTCCTGGGATTTGCTCAAGAATTCCCTGGATTTCTTCAGGGTTTCTCGGGATTCCCTCATTGGCATAACAAATATTCCCAGGACTTCCTTGGGAATTCCCGGGATTTCCTCAGTACCTTTGGCAGAACAGAAAGGAATTCCTGGGATTTCCTCATTGGAAGAACAGAATATTCCCAGGATTTCCTCAGGAATTCCCGGGATTCCCTCAGTACCTCTGGCAGAACAGATATTCCTGGGATTTCCTCAGCTCCTTGCTGGTTTGGATGTGGAATCCCGTGAAAGATTCCTCCATTTCTTCCTTGCAGCCGGAATGGAGGAATTCCAGGAACTGCTCGAAGATTCCCGTCCATCTCTTCTCCACTGGGAATTCCTTGAGGCCCAGCTGGCTGGAAAACAACACAGGGTTGGGATTTTCCATGGTCTTCCCAAATTCTTGTGGATTTCCCCCTAAAATCTCTGGGATTTGATGGAAACACAGGGCTGGGAGAGCTGGGAATGTTTTCCTGGAAAAGGGAAAATTCCAGGAGAGCTGGAGAAGAACTTGGGATAAGGGATGGAGGGACAGGACACAGGGAATGGCTTCCCATGGGAAAAACGGGGATTTGGATGGGATTTTGGGAAGGAATTCCTGGCTGGGATGGAATTCCCAAAGAATCTGTGGCAGCCCCCTGGATCCCTGGGAGTTTTCCAAGCTCAGCTTGGATCCACTTGGGAGAGTGGGAGAATCCATGGAATGGGATCATCCTTGAAATCCATTCCCACCAAAACCATTCCCAGATAATCCTAAGTGGATTCCATAAATGGGAATTCCTAAATGGGAATTCCTAAATGGGAATTCCATAAAAACCCTGCAAGTCTCTTGTCCCGACCACAGAAATCCTCTGGGGGGAAAAAATTTCCAGATGCATGGGACAGAAATAATCCAAAATTTTTGAATTCCTGCTCCATGCACTGCTGGATATTCCTAAATATTCCTAATTAAGATTCTTTATCTCCTCAGAATTCCTGCAGAAAAGCTGGAAAAGAGTTGAGGAACTGCTCCCAGGAGTTGTTCCTGCCTGGATAGCTCAGGGAAAGGGAATTTCTGTCCCATGGATGCTCCGAGTGACTGGGAATGTTTTGAGGGGAAAAAAGATGGAATTGAACTGGGATTTGGGAGGGGAACTGGAATCTGAGAGGAATTTGGGCTGGATGGCATCAAAACATCCATTCCTGCTTCCCAACAGGAATTAATTCCATGAAAAATCCCAGGATGGCGCTAAAACATCCATCCCTGCTTCCTTGTGGAATTAATTCCATGAAAATCCCAGGATTACAGTCCAACATCCATCCCTGTTTCCCTATGGAATTAACCCCAGTTCCAGGATTGCAGGAAAGCATCCATCCCTGCTCCCCTATGGAATTAATTCCATGGAAATCCCAGGATTACAGTCCAACATCCATCCCTGCTTCCCTATGGAATTAACTCCATGAAAATCCCAGGATTGCAGTCCAACATCCATCCCTGCTTCCCTATGGAATTAACTCCATGGAAATCCCAGGATTACAGTCCAACATCCATCCCTGCTCCCCTATGGAATTAACTCCATGAAAATCCCAGGATTGCAGTCCAACATCCATCCCTGCTTCCCACGTGGAGTTAACTCCATGGAAATCCCAGGATCTCAGGAAAACATCCATCCCTGCTTCCCTATGGAATGAATCCCAATCCCAGGATTGCAGTCCAACATCCACTCCCTCATTCCCACATGGAATTAATCCCAGAATTCCAGTCCAACATCCATCCCTGCCTCCCACCACACTGAATCCCCCGGGCTCCATCCCCCCCTGTCCTGCTGCCCATAAATCCACATTGGGATCAATTCCCAGGAACGCCTGTGGGATGGATCCAGAGCATTCCTGAGGATCCCATTCCTCACGATCCTGTTCCCAAGGACCCTGTTTCCCCAGGATCCCATCCTGAGGATCCCATTCCCAAGGATCTCCTTCCCAAGGACCCCATTCCCAAGACTCCCATACCGAGGATCCCCTTCCTGAGGATCCCATCCTGAGGACCCTGCCCCCAAGGATCCCCTTCCTGAGGACCCTGAGGATCCCATTCCCAAGGGTCCCATCCCAAGGACCCCGTTCCTGAGGATCCCCTTCCCCATTCCCCAGGACGCTGTTCCCAAGGATCCCCTTCCCAAGGATCCCGAGGACACTGTTCCCCGGGATCCCATCCCAACGATCCCAAGAATCCCATTCCCAAGGATCCCATTCCCAGAATCCCAAGGATCCCCTTCCCCAGGACCCCATTCCCCAGGATACCATCCCAAGGACCCCAAGGATCTTGTTCCTGAGTACCCTGGTCCCCAGGGTCCCATTCCAAAGATCCCATTTCCCCAGGATCCTGAGGATCCAATCCCGAGGACCCCAAGGATCCCATTCCCCAGGACCCCATTGTTCCCCAGCACCCTGTTGTTCCCCGTGGTTCCCCAGCACCCCGTTGTTCCCCGTTGTTCCCTGCTGTTCCCCGTGGTTCCCCGTTGTTCCCCTGGACCCCGCTGATCCCCAGGACCCCGTTGTTCCCTGCTGTTCCCCGTTGTTCCCCGCTGTTCCCCGTTGTTCCCCATGGTTCCCCGTTGTTCCCCGTTGTTCCCCGCTGTTCCCCGTTGTTCCCCATTGTTCCCCGTTGTTCCCCGCTGTTCCCCGTTGTTCCCCATGGTTCCCCGTTGTTCCCTGCTGTTCCCCGTTGTTCCCTGCTGTTCCCCGTTGTTCCCCGTGGTTCCCCGTTGTTCCCTGTTGTTCCCCGCTGTTCCCCGTTGTTCCCCGTTGTTCCCTGCTGTTCCCCATTGTTCCCCGCTGTTCCCCGTTGTTCCCCGTTGTTCCCCATGGTTCCCCGTTGTTCCCCGCTGTTCCCCGTTGTTCCCTGCTGTTCCCCATTGTTCCCTGTTGTTCCCCGCTGTTCCCCATGGTTCCCCGTTGTTCCCTGCTGTTCCCCATGGTTCCCCGTTGTTCCCCGTTGTTCCCCATGGTTCCCCGCTGTTCCCCGTTGTTCCCCGTTGTTCCCCATGGTTCCCCGTTGTTCCCCGTTGTTCCCCGCTGTTCTCCATTGTTCCCCGTTGTTCCCCATGGTTCCCTGCTGTTCCCCGTTGTTCCCCGCTGTTCCCCGTTGTTCCCCGTTGTTCTCTGCTGTTCCCCGCTGTTCCCCGCTGTTCCCCATTGTTCCCCGTTGTTCCCTGCTGTTCCCCGTTGTTCCCCATGGTTCCCCATTGTTCCCCGTTGTTCCCCGTTGTTCCCCATGGTTCCCCGCTGTTCCCCGCTGTTCCCCGTTGTTCCCCGTGGTTCCCCGTTGTTCCCCGTTGTTCCCCGTTGTTCCCTGTTGTTCCCCATGGTTCCCCGCTGTTCCCCGTTGTTCCCCGTTGTTCCCCGTGGTTCCCCGTTGTTCCCCGTTGTTCCCCGCTGTTCCCCATTGTTTCCTGCTGTTCCCTGTTGTCCCCGCTGTCCCCGCTGTCCCCGCTCTCACTCCGGCTGTCTCTGGGGCTCGGGGGCCGCGCTGAGCTGGCCCTGGGCGCTGAGCCCGCCCCGCGAGCTGAACGTCCCCCCGCAGCACGGAGCCGTTGGCAAAGGACAGCTTCCCCTAAAGAAAGAGTTATAAATTTAATGAAAATTGTACATTCGATGTGGTTTTAATCAAAATTTACATTAGTTATTTCCATTTTTCAATTATTATTAAATTCCCTTTTATTATTGAGTTCTCCATTATTAAATCCCCTTTTTATTATTGAATTCTCTATTTATTGTGAAATTCCCACTTTATTATTAAATTCCAGAGAGCTTTCTCTCTGAAAAAATATAAAAATTATAAATTAAACTAAAAACTATGAATTTTGAAAAAATTGAATTTAAAAAAATTACTTAGTTCAATTTCTCTGCATCAGTTCTCTATTCAATTGTCAATCATTATTAAATTCTTTGTTGTTAAATTCTCTATTTGTTATTAAAATTTCTATTATTAAATTCCTTTTTTATTATTAAATTCCCATTTATTACTAAATTCTCTATCATTAAATTACCTTTGTATTCTTGAATTCTCTATTTATTACTAAATTCTCTATTTATTATTAAATTCTGGAGAGCTTTCCCTGCAGAAAAATCCAGGATTAGGAATTAAATTAAAACTATAAATTTCATTATTCTTAATTATAAATCAAATTCTTTATTTCAAATTCTCTATCCAATTCTGTATTATTAAATTATTTTTATTTTGTTTAAATTTTAGTTTGTCATTAAATTCTCTATTTATGATTAAATTCTCTATTTCTTACTGAATTCTCTAATTATTAGATTCACTATTATTGAACTTTCTATTAATTATATAAGAATTCTATTATTAAATTCCCTTTTTATTATTAAACTCTCTGTTATTAAATTGCCGATTATTAATTTAATATAATAATTCAAAATCAAATTTATTATTAAACACTTTTTACTAAATTCTCTATTTGTTATTCAATTCTATGTATTATATAAATTTTGTATTTATTACAGAAATTCTCTATTTTAAATTCTTTCATTTTAAATCCTTTATTATTGAATTCTTTATAATTAAATTCGCTATTTACTGTTACATCCTTTATTATGAAATTCTTCATTTATTATATAAATTCTGTATTATTAAAATCTCTATTTATTATTAATTCTACAATTTTAAATTCTTTACTTTTAAATTCTCTATTTATAATTAAATTCTCCGATGATTATATAAATTCTTTATTTATAATTAAATTCTCAATTATTCTCCCACTCCTCCATTATTCAATTCTCTATTCATTATTCAAATTCCCAAAATGAAATCCAACACAATATCCCAAATCTGCCTTGGAATTCCAGCCGCACCCAAATCCCGGATTTCTCTGGATTTGCCACCAAATCCAAGCAGGAATTTTGGAGGGAAAATATCCCAGCACTGGAACCAATCCCTCAAAATCCACCCCGGAGATTTCCCAGGGATTCCCAGATTTTCCCCATCCCGGGGATTCCCAGATCCCAAGGAATTCTTGCATTCCCCACCATTTTCTCAGCACGGAACGCCCCTGGAGGAGGAAGATGATGACAAATTCTTCCTCAGCTGCCAAAGCTCGTCAGCGTTAATTAACGAGCATTAATTGTGCCATTTCCCAGAATTCCTGCCAGGCTCATCCCAGATTTTTGGAAATCTCATTTTTCCTGCCCTGGGGGTTTTCTCAGCACTTCGGAGCGGGAATTTCTGTTGGAATGCAACCACAAAAGCTGGGAGGGGTCAGGGCAGGGCCCGGATTGGGAAATCCCAAATTTCCGCTGCCTCGGTCACGGCAGCTCCGGGTTCTGCATCATTTCCTGCGGCCCCAAAGCCTGGAATGTGCCTTTTTTAAAAATAAAGAAGGATCTCGGGTGCGGCTGCAAAGCACAGCCAAAAATCCCCCAAAAAACTGATAAAAACACTCAAAAAGATGAAAAAAACCCCCAAAAACTTAATCAAAAATGTCCCACAAAAGCCAGTAAAACCATAAAAATTCAAGCAAAAATATCCCCTAAAACCCAACAAAAAACCCCAAAAAAGAAAAAAACATTCCCAAAACCTCAACCAAAAATGTCACTTAAAGCTCAAAAAAAAAACCCAATCAAAAAAGCCCAATAACTCCATCAAAAATGTCCCATAAAAGCCAGTAAAACCAGAAAAATTCAAGCAAAAATATCTCATAAAACCCAACTAAAAACCCAAAAAAAATCCCAAAAACTCAACCAAAAATATCACTTAAAACTCAATAAAAACCCAATCAAAAAATTGAGTTCCATAAAACCCAATAAAACTGTAAAAATTCAAGGAAAAAACCCCATAAAAGCCAGCAAACCCCCCCCCCCCCAAAAAAAAGAAAAAAAACCCCAAAACCTCAACCAAAAATGTCACTTTAAACTCAACAAAATCTCAATCAAAAAAACCTCCAATAACTCAATCAAAAATGTCCCATAAAAGCCAATAAAACCACAAAGATTCAAGCAAAAATGTCCCCTAAAACCCAACAAAAAACCCCAAAAAGAAAAAAACATTCCCAAAACCTCAACCAAAAATGTCAGTTAAAGCTCAAAAAAAAACCCAATCAAAAAAGCCCAATAACTCCATCAAAAATGTCCCATAAAAGCCAGTAAAACCAGAAAAATTCAAGCAAAAATATCTCATAAAACCCAACTAAAAACCCAAAAAAAATCCCAAAAAACTCAACCAAAAATATCACTTAAAACTCAATAAAAACCCAATCAAAAAATTGAGTTCCATAAAACCCAATAAAACTGCAAAAATTCAAAGAAAAAACCCCATAAAACCCAGCAAACCCCCCCCCCAAAAAAAAGAAAAAAAAACCCAAAACCTCAACCAAAAATGTCACTTTAAACTCAACAAAATCTCAATCAAAAAAACCTCCAATAACTCAATCAAAAATGTCCCATAAAAGCCAATAAAACCAGAAAAATTCAAGCAAAAAATCCCATAAAACTCAACAAAAAAAAAACAAAGAAAAAAAAAATCTCAAAATCTCAAATACGTCTCATAAAACTCTAATAAAACCCAAGGAGAAAAAAAAAAAACCTCAATGAAAAATATCCCATAAAACCCAATGAAAACCCAACCAAAAAACCCAATAACTCAATCAAAAATGTCCCATAAAACCCAACCAAAAAAAACCCAAAAAAAAGAAAAAAATTTCCCAAAATCTCAACAAAATATGTCATCTAAAACCCTAATAAAACCCAATAAAAAACCCCAAGAACTCAACCAAAAATGTCCCATAAAACCCAATGAAAACCCAACCAAAAAACCCCTATAACTCAATCAAAAATGTTTTTTTAAAACCCAATTTAAAAACCCCAAAAAAAGAGAAAAAAATCCACAAACCTCAACCAAAAATGTCCTGTAAGACATTTTTAAAAACTTAAAAAACTCGACTAAAAATGTTCCATAAAACCCAACAAAAACACAACAAAAAAAACCCCAGAAAACTCAACTAAACATGTCCCATAAACCAAATAAAAAACCTCATAAAAGAGTGAAAAATACCCCAAAACCTCAACCAGAAATGTCCCGAAAAACCCAAGAAAAACCCAAGAAAATAAACCCCAAAAAAATAAACCCCAAAAAACCCAACCCAACCAACATGAAGTAAATAAAACGTGAAAATCCCAAATTATTCTCGAAATTCCCAAAATCTCCAGCTGCAGTTTTCCTTCTGTGCTAAATATTCCAGAAATTTGGAAAACGGGGTTTTGTAGGAAGCTGAGGGAAGCAGAGCAGGAAGGAATAAAGTTGGGAGATGAACCCATGGAAAATTCCAGAAGAAGAGGGAGGGAATTCCAACCTTTCCAACGAACGTCAGATCATCCGTGAAGTTCCCTTCGTAGACGGAGTCGTCTTCCAGGAGCAGAATTCCTGAGCCCTTGGGATGAAAGGAAAAATCAGGAATTCGTGGAATGAACTTCCACACCTGGTCCAATTCATCCCAGAAAAATTTATGGGATGCAGATTCCAAGAATTTTTTTTTTTAAAGCCAAACATCAGTTTTCAATGTTTGGGAGAAGCTCCAAGAAAACCCATGGAGAAGGAGGTCAGGAAACTTGGAGCAATAAAATTATTCCATGGGTTTCCCATGGAAAAGGAATAAAAAACCAGGAAAAGCCACCAAGGATTGTCACAGGGTCAAACTCGTGGTGCTCTCAATCCTGGGGTATTTTAGGGAATTCTTTGGGAAATGATTCCAAGAAAAGAACGACGGTGTGGAAATGTGGAATTCCCTGTGGGAAAGGGATCCAGAAGGATCAAAATCCAACTCTTGGCACAGGAGGCATCCCAAGAATTCCCGGAAAATCCCAGAGCTCTGGCGGTGTTGGGAATGTGCCCATTCCGTGGGAAATTATTCCAGGGAATAATTCCTGTCCATAGGGAATTTTCTGCCCACTGGGATTTATTCCATGGTTTAAGCCCAAAGGTTTCTTCATCCCCAAACCAGCTGGGATCACTTCCAGAGGTGGGATATTTTCTTCTGGGATTAAATACCCCAAAAAATTCAACCAAAAATGTCCCATAAAACCCAATAAAAAACCCCAAAAAGAAAAAAAATAAAAGATCCCAAAACAACAACTAAAAATGTCTCATAAAACCCAATAAAGAACCCCCCCCAAAAAACCCCCAAAAACTCCATCAGAATTGTCCCATAAAACCCAACAAAAAAAACCCAAAAAGAAAAAAAAATCACAAAACTGCAACCAAAAATGTCTCATAAAACCCAATAAAGAACCCAAAAAAAAGAGAAAAAGAATCCCAAGAACTCCATCAAAATTGTCCCATAAAACCCCAAAAAAAACCCCAAAAAAGAGAGAAAAATATCCCAAGAACTCCATCAAAATTGTCCCATAAAACTCAATAAAAAAAACCCAAAAAGGAGAAAAAAAATCCCAAAACCTCAACCAAAAATGTCTCATAAAACGCAATAAAAACCATTTTTCCCTAATTGAGGAAGTGGAATTGGGGTTGTTGGGTTTTTTAAGGACGGATTTTTTTAGGGTTGGGTTTTTTTAAGGATGTTTTTATTCCAATGCCAATTCCCTTTGCTTTCCCCACCAAATTCCCAACGTTCCATGAACTGGATGAGTGAATTCCCTCTGGAAAAGTCAGGATTTCATGATTTCCAGGAAAGACGGAATGTTATGGAATTCTTGGAATGGTTTGGGCTGGGAGGGACCTTCGGGATCCATGGGCAGGGATCTCCCACTGTCCCAGGGTGCTCCAACCTGGCCTTGGACATTCCAGGGGCTGCCCCAAATCTCTGGGAATTCCATCCCAACCCCTCCGACCCAGGAATTCCTTCCCAATATCCCATCAATCCCTCTGGAAGGGGAGAAGAAACAAAACCTTGTTCTTCCAAACCGTGATTATGGGAGAATCATGGAATGTCCTGAAGGGGCCCGTAAGGATCCAAATCCAACCCCTGGCCTTGCAGAGAGATCCAACAATTCCATCCTTTCCTGGAGAGTTTTCCAAACATTCCTGGAGCTCTGGCGGCCTTTGGAATGTGCCCATTCCCTTGGGAATGTCCATCCCGAGCACTCACTGGGGGCAGAACCTTTCCCTGATCTCCAAAGCCTCTTTGTCCTCCACGATGAATTTGGGAACGAAGCCTCGATCTCGCCCTCAGCGATGGATTCCCCATCCCAGGGATTCCCAGATTCCACGGAAATCTCGGACTCACCACCATTTTATCCGCATGGAATGTCCTCTGGTAGCAGAGCCCCGACTGCGTCACCACGATGCCTTCTCCGTGCCTGCGGTCATCCAACCACATCCCGATGTACCTCTCCGCTCTGGAACGCAAGGAAATCCCAAGTGACGGATGTTCCCAGTTTCCCCAGCTCTCAATCCGTCGGATTTGTCCTGCTCAGGGTGGCTTTCCCTGACACAACACCCCAGGCTGGATGTCCCACACAAACTGAGCTCAGGGAGTGTTTTCCAAGGAATTCAAGCCTTACATCCCCACTCATCCATCCCACATCTCCAGGATTTATCCCACCAAACCCAAAGCTGTCCCATGTCGCGGACACATTTTATAAAAAATCCTTTTGTCAGGATCTTTTCTCCTGAGAAGCTGGGAAGTTTCAGCTTCCCCACGTTTTGCTGCTTTGGAATGTGATTTGGAGAATTGTTTACCCAGCGTGTGAAATTGTTTTTACTTGGTGACCAACGGCAGCCACCTGTGTCCAGGCTGTGAGCAGCCACAAGATTTTATTTTCATTCCTTTCTATTCCTTGCTATCCTTTCTTCTATTCTTTTTGTGTAGTTTTAATCTATCAATATAATATAATATTATAACAGATCAATATAATATGATAATGTGATAATATAATATTATCATATTATATTGTAATATTATATATTATAATATATAATATATATAATATAATATAATATAATATAATATAATATAATATAATATATATTATATATTATATAAAATATGGTATATATGATATATATGATATATATGATATATATTATATATATTATATATATTATATACAATACATAATGTATATTATGTATTATACATATTATACATAACATAATATATATTATATCTAATATAATATTATATCATAATATAATATTATATCTTATTATAATATCATATCATACTATATTATCATATCATACTATATTGTCATATCATACTATATTTTCATATTATATTATATTATATTATCATATTATATTATATTATCATATTATATTATTTTAATGTAATGTAATGTAATGTAATGTAATGTATCAGCCTTCTGAAACATGGAGTCAAATTCTCATCTCTTCCCTCGTCCTGGGGACCCACAACAACACCACAACAATTAATACCCACACTCCTGTGTCACGGACATATTTTATGGAAAATCCTTTTGCTTGGATTTTTCTCCTGAGAAGCTGAGAGGCTTCAGGAACAAAATGTGAACATTGATTATCTGCTGCTGTGGAATGCAACAGGTGCATCTGGGATTGGGCTCATGTTGGATGTTTATAATTAATGGCCAATCACAGCCCAGCTGGCTTGGACTCTGGTCAGTCACAAGATTTTATTTTCATTCCTTTCTATTCCTTGCTATCCTTTCTTCTATTCTTTTAGTGTAGTTTTAATATATCATTTTCTTTTAATATAATCTATATCATGAAATAATCAATCAGCCTTCTGAAACATGGAGCCAAGATTCTCATCCCTTCCCTTGTCGGGGTTTCCTGCAACCTCAACATTCCCACACCTCAGATCCATCCCACCTTTACCTCTCCTTGTCCTCCCAGACTCCGTATCCGCTCTTTTTGTCGTTTTCCCACTGTCCCGTGTATCTGAAGGGATTCTCAGCCGAGAAGTTCTCCAGGATCCCAAAGCCCTGGCGCACGCTGTCCTTGAAGTAGCCCTTGTAGACCAGGTCATTCCCGTACCTGCAGGAAGAGGGGTGCAATTCCAGCCTGGGAATATTTGACAGCTTCTCCTGGAGTAGAAAACCAGGGAAGTGAGGAGATCAGGCTCATCCATCTCAAAATATTCCAAGGATTTTCCCCACAGCATTGAATTGGATCCCCGTTTGCTGTTGGGAATGTGCATCACCCAAACCGGACATTCCAAAGCTTCCCAAACTATCCAAGGATTCAACGTGCGGGCTTGGAGTTGTCCTGGGAGAGGCCACTCAAGAATTGACCTCTCACCAGCCTGGGCACAGGAAGCTCTGGTGAATCCAGGCTGGAAAATCGGATCCATAGGAAGGAGGCCAAGCTTGGATCCAGCTCTTTGTGGTGGCCACCACAAAGCCCTTCCCTGGACAGGTCCCTCTGGGAAGAGCAGCTCTGAGTTGAACAAAGGAGCAGAACATCCAGGTTGGAGGACACGTCTATCCCAGTTGGAATGTTGGGTCTGTCCCACTTGGCATGGAGAAATCAGGGATAGGGATGAGCAGGAACCGGGGGCAGCCCAGTGTTCCCAGAAGCCAAAGCATTTGGGGTGACCTTGGAGGAGAAAATTCCAGGGAAACCTCAGAGCCCCTGGCAGGGCCTGGAGGGGCTCCAGGAGAGCTGGGGAGGGACTGGGGACAGGGGATGGAGGGACAGGACACAGGGAATGGCTCCCAGTGCCAGAGGGCAGGGATGGATGGGAGATTGGGAATTGGGAATTCCTGGCTGGGATGGAATTCCCAGAGCAGCTGGGGCTGCCCCTGGATCCCTGGAATGCCCAAGGAAAGGCTGGAGCACCCTGGGACAGTGGGAGGCGTCCCTGCCCGTGGAACGGCATCATCCTTAAGCTCCCAAACACTTCTGGAATTCTAAATGCCCACAAAGCATTTCCAGACCAGGCTCCAAAAATTTCAGGAAGCATTTCCCACTTTAAATCCCTGGAACCCCCTTCTCCCTGGAACCCATCCTGGATTTTACTTACTCACAGATTCCATAGCCCCTCATCTTGCCCTGGTACCAGTGGCACTTGTAGCAGTCGTAGCGATCCTCGGAGCGCCGCGGGACCAGGCAGATCCCAAACCTGATGGGGGCACGTGGGAAAGGTCAGCATGGAAAAAAAAAATCAGCCCGGAAAAGGTCAGCATGGAAAAATCAGCATGGAAAAGGTCGGGATGGAAAAAAAGTCAGCATCAAAAAGGTCAACGTGGAAAAGGGTGACTCCATTGTGGCGGATGAACTTCAAAAACCATTTTGAACATCATGGGATTGATTTTTGTTCTGTAAAAAACTTCTCATTTAAATGAGGTCTTGAAGAGATCTAACAACAACCTTAAGATGCTTTCTGTGAATAAATTCCCATGGATTTGGGGATCTGGGATCAGAGTCCAACTGGATGGAAATGTCTGCCTGAAAAAAGGTCAGCACAGAAAGCAGCGACTCCATTGTACTGGATGAAGTTTAAAAACCAGTTTGAATTTCATGGGATTTGTTTTTTTTCTGTAAAAACTCCTCATTTAAGTGAGGTTTATAAAAGGATCTAAAAACAACTTTAAGACACTTCCTAGGAATAAATTCTCATGGATTTGGGGATCTGGGATCAGATTCCAACTGGATGGAAATGTCTGCCTGAAAAAGGTCAGCACAGAAAGCAGCGACTCCATTGTAGTGGACGTTTAAAAACCAACTGGAATTTCATGGGATTTTTTTTTCTGTAAAAACTCCTCACGCGAGGTTTATAAAAGGATCTAATAAGACACTTCCTAGGAATAAATTCCCATGGATTTGGGGATCTGGGATCAGATTCCAACTGGATGGAAATGTCTGCCTGAAAAAGGTCAGCACAGAAACCGCCAACTCCATTGTACTGGATGAAGTTTAAAAACCAATTTGAATTTCATGGGATTTGGGTTTTTTTCTGTAAAAACTCCTCATTTAAGTGAGGTTTATAAAAGGACCTAAAAATAACTTTAAGACAGTTCCTACGAATAAATTCCCATGGATTTGGGGATCTGGGATCAGATTCCAACTGGATGGAAATGTCTGTATTGAAAACAGCAACTCCATTGTAGCGGATGAAGTTCAAAAACCAAGGATTGTCCAAATTCCCAATGTTTATGTGCTTGGATCAGCCCTACCTGAGACACTTTTCCCAGGTGCCACTGGACTTTTCCCAAAGGAAAGCTCATCCCTCTGGGAGCTGCACTCCCAGATCCTCACTGTTCCTTCTCCAGAGTTTCTTTCAGTTCTGTTTTCCCCTCTTTCCCCATTTCCTATTTTAGGGGCAGAGTTAAACGTTCTGGGATTCCCAACAAAAGCATTTGGGATTTTTTTCGCCCCCTCTTTGGAAAAATGAGGAATCCTAAAGTCCTATTTCCAATAAAATTGAGATAAATAATACTTGAATTTCATGGATTGATATCTTAAATCTTGAAGGAAAAACTCATTTAAGTGAGGTTTTAAAGGGATCTAAAAACAACTTTAAGACACTTCCTAGGAATAAATTCTCACAGATTTTGGGATCTGGGATCAGATTTCAACCCCTGGGGTCAGTCAGTGTCAGTCCCCTCCCTCCAGGTCCCACCCTCTGGCAGGAACCATTCCAGTTTAATTTCAAAGCAGGGAATGTCCCGTTTTCCAAGGCTGTTTTCCAAGGCTTACCCGTGCTCCAGGCCCTCCTGGAAATCCCCGACGTGGTTGCGTCCATCGCGCCACTTCAGCGTCCCCCTGGAACCCAAGGAATTCTCTCACAAGGGACACCACAACATTCCCACATGGAGCAGCACCCACCAAAGCCCAGCCTAAATATTGAGGCCGGCTCAGATGGACCTTGGAGTTACGTGGAAGGTGCCCATGGCAGGGTGTGGGATTGGATCTTTCCCAAAGTTCTTTCCAACCCAAACCATTCCCAGATTTTACGGCAAACATCCAAAATGCTCCTCGGAGCACAGAGACACAAAAGGCACCCCCAGGCCTTGGTTTCCAGCAGGAGGATTTAATCCCACAATGTTTTCCTGCTCTGGGCTGAGTGGGAAGAACCCGTTCCATTCCCTAATCCCAAAAGTATTTTCTGGAGGTGCTGCCTCGTGCCTTTGGGACCTTGCACCTGACCCTGAATTAATTACAGGGATTAATCCAGCTGCAGTTCCTGCCTGGCACATCCCCGTGGGCACGGTGACACCGCAGCCTGGAATGCCAGCGGCTCAGCCACCGGGAAAACAGAGAGGAAAACCATTCCCAAGGGATCGCTCATCCCATGTTCTGTGGGGCTGGGAAGTGATTCCAGGAGCTGATCCCACAGCAAGGAGAGCCGGGAATGGGCAATGCCAGGGAAATTCCTGCCCGGCCGTGCCCGGCTCCGCAGCGATTTCCCTCCCTCCCGGAATCCCACTCCACCCACACCCACTGAGAGCTTCAATTCCGGCCGCAGCCCAGAAAATCGGATCCTGCACGTTCCCCAGCCGGACACAATGGAATTACAAAATCCTGGAATGCTTTGGCTTGGAAGGACCCTCGAGATCTTCTCATCCCATGCCAGGGACACCTCCCACTGCCCCAGGTGCTCCAAGTGTCCAGCCTGGCCTTGGGCACTGCCAGGGATCCAGGGGCAGCCACAGCTGCTCTGGGAATTCCATCCCAGCCCCTCCCCACCCTCCCAGCCAGGAATTCCTGCCCAAATCGAGTTTAAATGAATCTTAATAAAAGGTGGGAATTAGGCTGAGGAAATATCAGGGATTTGAGGAATTCTGAGCTCTATTTGGAGCTGGAGGCCAAGGCTTTGGAATCCCTCAGGGAATGCTGGAATATTTTCCCTCCATGCTGATGCTGAGCTCATCTGCTTTGCCTTAAAACCCCAATTGGAGCAATTCAAAATCATGAAATCGTGGAATTTTTGTGGTTGGATGGGATTCTAAAGAACATCGAGTTCCAACCCTGTGCCAGGGACACTTCCCACTGCCCCAGGCTGCTCCAAGTGTCCAACCTCGCCTTGGGCACTGCCAGGGATCCAGGGGCAGCCACAGCTGCTCTGGGAATTCCATCCCAGCTCCTCCCCACCCTCCCAGCCAGGAATTCCTGCCCAAATTGAGCTTAAATGGATCTTGAGCTTGGAATTAAAGCTGAGAAGTAGGTAGAGGCAATATCAGGGATTTTAGGAATTTGGGGCTCTTTTTGGAGCTGAGGGCCAAGGCTTTGGAATCCCTCAGGGAATGTTGGAATATTTTCCCTCCACACTGATGCCAAGCTCATCTGGTTTACTTCAAAACCCCAACTGGAACAATTCAAAATCATGGAATCATCAAATTTTTGGGGCTGGATGGGATCCTAAAGAACATCCAGTTCCAACCCCATGGTCAGGGACACCTCCCACTATCCCAGGTGATCCAAGTGTCCAACCTTGCCTTGGACACTTCCATGGATCCAGGGGCAGCCACAGTTTCTCTGGGAATTCCATCCCAGCCCCTCCCCACCCTCCCAGCCAGGAATTCTTTCCCAACATTGACTCCAAACCTCCTCTGGGCTGGTTTGCCAGGAGATGGTGCAACACCAAAACCGTGAGGAGGTTGTTTGACTTTCACCCAGGTTGTTGTTTCAAACACCTCCATGAGAGTGGCTCTTCTCCAAGTTTTCCAGAGGATCGGTTGGATGTGTTTCAAATTTCAATATTTTAATTTTAATTTAAAATTAAATCTCCTTTGGCTTTGTGGAATGGAAAAGGGGAGCACTCAAAGGGTTGAGGGAACAGCTGGAGCTGGGCCAGGTTTAAGTTGGATTTTAGGGAAAAGTTGTTCCTCCAGAGGGTGTCGGGCACTGAACATTCCCCAAGGAATGGGCACAATCCCAAGGCTGCTCCAGGAGGTTGGACAGGGCGGGGTTGTTGGGATCTGTACAGGGCTTGATCCCCGTGAGCCCTTCCCACTCAGGATATTCCATAATTTCATGTCTGCTCCAGGCACAAGGATGTTTAAGCCACATGTGAGTGGGAGTCTGGCCTTCTCCCAGCCCAGGTCACCCCAAATTCCAGGACAGGCACTGGAGAGCTCTGGAATTCCAGGACAGGCAGAATGGAGCTGGAGAACGCCGATGTTTTTGCCAAAGAGCCCAAATTCCCACTCCCACAGCTCTGCCCACGTGCTCCTCCCTCGGAAATCCCAGAGCAGCCACCAAGGCCAGGATGCTGCTCTGGAACCTTCCAGCAACAAAATCACAGCAGAGGAATTCCAGCAGTGGGAAGAGAACTCAAATCCAAGGAGCTGAACACCTGAAGTCCCTGAATTCTGCCACAAATCTCCTGGGATGCCTCACCCGAGTCACTCCATGTGGCAAGAGAGGTTTGGATGAATCCCAGTTTTCCAGCCCTAAGGCAGGAGAGGACAAAAACCTGGAGATGGTTTGGAGGGAGTGAAGGTGGGGATGACCCAAAGGTCTCCTGCCCTAAACGTTCCCTTGATGCTGTTCCAGGGCACGGCACAATCTCCTCCACTGAATATTCAGGGTTCAGTTTTGGATTTGGGACTGGAACTGGACTCAAATCCCTTCCAAGCCATTCTGGATTCTTTCATTATTTTAAGGTTCTCTCAAAGTGAGTCTCTCTCCATCCTTTTTGCTTCCAGAGCAAACTGTGCAAAACTCACGGGAAATAAAATTTCCCAGTGTTTTGGTGGCTGAGGAGCTTGGTCATATTCCAGGTTTCTTCCCAAAAAAACCCAGAGTGTTCTCTATCCTATTTCCAATAAATTTCGGTCAGGATCTTTTGATTTACAGACATTCACTTAAACTTGGATTTACTGAACAGTTCCCAATGTTCCCATTTTAGCTCCTTTTGGATTTAAGCTTCTCTTAATTCCTGCGATAAAAGTTTGGATGTTCAAGTTTGGATAAAGTTCAAAGAGATTGTGCTAGCGGAGAATAAAATAAAAAAATATAAATAAAATATATAAATAAAATTCTCCCCAAAGGGTTTTTATCAGGGATTTTCCTCATCATGAGGGTGAGATCTCAATTTTAGGCCCAGGCTAAATCCTAAGTAGAGGCACCAGCTCATGCAGCACCCTCAGTGAGACCAACACCATGTTTCTGGGGCAGCCTTTAGGATTTAATCCATAAACCACAGATGAGACATCCACAATAAATCCCAAGTTTTAGGACTCAGGCTTTGCTAAGCCTGCCCTCAAGGCCAGAATTCCCTCTGGGAATGAGTGAGGCAGGAACCAAGAGAGCCGGGCCTGGATTCACATCCACAACATCATTAAAAATCAAATTCTAATCTTATCCCCACCCTGGAAGTGCCCAAAAAAGGAGCAGACCCTTGATGAGGTGGTTGAGTGACCTTGGAGATCTTTCCCAACCTTCACAGCAACTCCAAACCAGCACTTCCAACCTCATTCCCACTTGGAAAAGGGGCCCAGAGGGTTCCTTCCCAGAGCCACTCACCCTCATGGGTGGAGCCTGCCCAGAAAAGGAGCAGCCCCTTCATGAGTGACCTGGAGAAGTTTGGGTTGACCTTGGAGACCTTTCCCAACCTTCATGGAAGCTCCAAGCACTTCCAACCTCATTCCCACTTGGAAAAGAGGCCCAAAAGGTGCTTCCAACCTTGTTCCTGCTTGGAAAAGGTGCCCAGAAGGTTCCTTCCCAGAGCCACTCTCCCTTGTAGGTCGCCACCCTGAGCCTGCCCAGAAAGGAGCAGCCCCTTCCTGAGTGACCTGGAGAAGTTTGGGAAGACCTTGCAGATCTTTCCCAACCTTCACAGCAACTCCAAACCAGCACTTCCAACCTCATTCCCACTTGGAAAAGGAGCCTAAAAGGTTCCTTCCCAGAGCCACTCACCCTCATGGGTGGAGTCTGCCCAGAAAAGGAGCAGCCCCTTCATGAGTGACCTGGAGAAGTTTGGGTTGACCTTGGAGATCTTTCCCAACCTTCATGGAAACTCCAAGCACTTCCAACCTTATTCCCACTTGGAAAAGAGGCCTAAAAGGTTCCTTCCTAGTGCCACTCACCCTCATGGGTGGTTACTCTAAGCCTGCCCAAAAAGAAGCAGCTCCTTCATGATGTGGTTGAGTGATCCAGAGATGTTTGTGTTGACCTTGGAGATCTTTCCCAACCTTCACAGCAACTCCAAACCAGCACTTCCAGCCTTATTCCCACTTGGAAAAGAGGCCTAGAATGTTCCTTCCCAGAGCCACTCTCCCTCATAGGTGGAGCCTGCCCAGAAAAGGAGCAGCCCCTTCATGAGTGACCTGGAGAAGTTTGGGTTGACCTTGGAGACCTTTCCCAACCTTCATGGAAGCTCCAAGCACTTCCAACCTTATTCCCACTTGGAAAAGAGGCCTAAAAGGTGCTTCCCAGAGCCACTCACCCTCATAAGTGGTTACTCTGAGCCTGCTCAAAAAGGAACAGCCCCTTCATGAGTGACCTGGAGAAGTTTAGGTTGAACTTTGAGATCTTCTCCAACCTTCATGGAAATGCCAAACCAGCACTTCCAAACTTATTCCCACTTGGAAAAGGAGCCCAAAATGTTCCTTACTTGCCATGGGGCTTCCCCCAGAGCCACTCTCCCTCGCAGGTGGCCCCACAGAGCCTGCCTAGAAAAGGAGCAGCTCCTTCATGAGTGATTTGGAGAGGTTTGGGTTGACCTTGCAGATCTTCTCCAACCTTCACGGAAATGCCAGACCAGCACTTCCAACCTTAGTCCAACTTGGAAAAGAGGCCTAGAAGGTTCTTCCCAGAGCCACTCACCCTCATAAGTGGCCACCCTGAGCCTGCCCAGAAAAGGAGCAGCCCCTTCATGATATGTTTGAGTGACCTGGAGAAGTTTGCGTTGACTTTGGAGATCTTTCCCAACTTTCACAGAAAGTCCAAAGCAGCACTTCCAACCTTATTCCCACTTGGAAAAGAGGCCCAAAAGGTTCCTTACTTGCCATGGGGCTTCCCCCAGAGCCACTCTCCCTCGTAGGTGGCCTCACGGAGCCTGCCAAGAAAACTGTGGGCAGGCTTCATGATGTGGTCAAGTGACCTGGAGATGTTTGGGTTGACCTTGAAGATCATTCCCAACCTTCACAGCAACTCCAAACCAGCACTTCCAACCTTATTCCCCCTTGGAAAAGTGACCCAAAATGTTCCTTACTTGCCGTGGGGCTTCCCCCAGAGCCACTCGCCCTCGTAGGTGGCCCCGCGGAGCCGTCCCTCCATGCGGAAGACGTAGCTGAAGAAGCGTCGGGACGGGGCCTCGCTGCCCTCCCCGCTGCGGCCCCAGAGAGGGAAATCCCGCTTCCCGTTCAGCGCCTGGCGCACGGCCTGCTCCAGCTTCCACCTCCACACGGCCTGAGGGCACGGAAAACACGGAATGGGCACAAATCCCAGGAAAATCAACCGCAGACAACTGCAGGAAAGCGGCGAGGAGCTCGTGGGTTCCCATCAAAGCCCTTCTGCAGCTTCCACAGGGGTTCTCCTGGAAGGTGGAAACTGCAGCAAGGCACAACAGCCGGGAGGGAGGAATTTCCACTTGGATGTTGAAAAAGAGGGAAAAATTCCACTTGGATATGAAAAAAAAAAAAAAAAAGACAATTTTCAAGCTGATTTGCCCACAGGATAGGCCTGTCCTTCAGGAAAAGCAGCAAGAAACCGACGGGTTCCAACCAGCATTCCTCACCAGCCATCAACTCTGAGCCTCCTCTGGCCATCTAATCCAGGAGTTTTTTGGGAAAAGGAGCCAAAGATCCCAAACCACCCTCACCAGAATTATTATCCTATTTTAAATACTAAAGAGATGGGAAAATCCCAAGTCCTGACCTTCATCTGAGGGTCCTTGGTGGAGAGGACGAACGTCTCCTCCGGGGTTGTGATGCGTAGGCTGTGCCTGGGAGGGAAACAAAAGGATGGAAAACACAATTCCCAATCCATCAGCTCTTCCCATTCCCCTCCTGGAGATCCTGGTGCTTTCCCAGGTGGTTCTTCTGGAGACATCTCAAGTTCTCCAGGGCTGGATTAAAGAATTTTGGGATTCATTAGCAACGAATGGGATAAGATGGAACAGCCTCAGGTCGTGCCGGGGGAAGGCCAGGTTGGACATCAGCAGGAATTTTTTCATGGAAAACGTGGTCAGGCATTGGAATTGCCCAGGGAGGTCTGGAGTGCCCATCCCTGGAGGTGTCCAAGGAATTCTGGGCTGGGAACAGGGTGGGGATGGGACACAGGTTGGATTTGATGATCCCAGAGGGCTTTTCCAACCTCAGAAATTCTGGGATTTCAATCTGGCAGCAAATTCCAAGCTGGTGAGATCCCATTATTCATATCCCAATCCCATGGCTTGGAAAGGAGATGGGACAAAGCTTTGGATCCTTTTCCCATTGACCTGAACATTTTTATTCCTTTTGTTTAACTCCCAGTGGGAATTTCTCACTCACAGTCCTGGAGCCGATTTCTCTCCACAGTTTTCATCCACCCACACTAGCTTCAGATCAAAACTCTGGAAGCTGTTTCCCTGGAAAAAAAATGGGAAAAGATGGTCCTGCTATTGCTGGAAACATCCATGGAATGGCAGAGCTGGAGTGGCAGCAGAAATTCCCAACTTTCTGAAGGTCTATCCATCCCACATTGGGAGGAGAGACCCTGGAGATGGAAAAGCCACCAGAAAAGGAGGGAAGTTCTCGTTTGAACAGTCCTGAAGCTCTTTCAAAATTCCATGGCCACATCCAGGAGTAAAACATTCCCACATGACCCTGATCTCCACAGGAATTCCTTCCCTAGCACATGGCAACATTCCCAAATCATTCCAGCCAATATTCCCAGAGATTTCTGGTTGCCCATCCCTGGAAGTATCCAAGGAAAGGTTGGACAAGGCTTGAAGCAACCTGGGATGGTGGGAACCATGGAATGGGGTGGGAATGGATCATCTTTGAGCTCCCTTTCCATCCAATCCATTCTGGGAATTATTTAGGATTTGGACTCCACGTGGCACCATTAGAAATATCCCAGAAATCCCAAATTTAAGGAGTCACTTTGGGAATCAACAGCACCCAAAAAAACAAACTCCAACGATTGGAATAAAAGGGAAATTGTAATTTATCATCTCTTTTCCCTGCCTCACATCCAGGTGTTCACACAGAGGTGCTGCCTGGAGGGATGGAGTTTTCCAAGGAATTCCACACTGGTTTCCCAGATTTGGGAGAACAGAAAAGGAAGGAATCAAAATTCCCAACCAGGTCAATCCCAATTTGGTTGGAATTCCCAAAGCTCCATAAAGCTCGGCAGTAGCAGGTGAGACACAGATGGAAATCATGGATTGAACATGGAGATAATTCCATGGATTTGTTGATCCTGTGTTCCCATCCCAGCCACCATCACGATCCAAGCTGGAATTCCCTCATGGGAACACATCCCCACACCCCAAAATTCCCAAAATAGCCCCAAAACCACCTCCAAATCTGCTGATGTGGCACAAACATGGAAAATCCCGTTTATCCCAATGCATGGGATCTCATGGAATGTCATCCTTGATCCATCAAATCCCTTGGGATAAACAAGGGCCAAAATTCCCTGTGGAAAATGGTGTGGACCACTCAAAAGGTGCCTGTGATGGTGGACAATCCACACTTCCTGGAAAAATGTTCTGTGGATCTCCTCCACTCCTTCCCAGATTTCCTTTATTTTCCAGAGCCAACCACACACAGATGGATCCGAGACAAAGTTTCCCCAATTTTCCCAACAGCCAAACTCTGCTGTGAGTTCAACACCAAAAAACTGCAATTTTACCACCATTCCTATGGAAATTCCTGTCATTTCTGCCATTCCACTGGAATTTTAGGCCCATTTATCCGTGCTCCCTTCCCAGGAGGATCCCGGGCTCACCTGGATGAGCACCAGGACGTCGTCGAAGAGCAGGAGCCGCTCGGAGCGGGCGGAGCCGGACGCGATGGGAAGGTTCCTGCTGTCCTCCAGGAGCCTCCTCTCAGGGACACACAGCACGTCCTGGAGCAGCAGGAAAAACCAGGATTGGGAGAGGACGTGGAATTCCAGGCAGGAATTCCTGCAGGGATCAGCTGGGTTGGGGTTCCAGTGACAGTGACACACTTGGGACACAAACTTGGCCCCACTGAGTTCCTCCAGCTCTTCCACCCAGCTCTGCTCTATTGAATTCCAGCCTCAAATTCCCAATCCATATCAAATTCCCAGTCCATACCAAATTCCCTCTGGCTCTGTCAGCCTCAGTTCCTTGATGCACATAAAATCCATATCACATCCATATCAAATTCCCAGTCAAAATCAAACTCCTGATCCATACCAAATTCCCGATCCACATCAAATTCCCGCTGGCTCAGGGTTCCAGTGTCAGTGACAAACTCTGCTTTGAAATCCCCACGGAGTTTCTCCAACTCTTCCACCCAGCTCTGCTCTGTCAACTTCAATCCTTGATCCACATCAAATCCATTTCACATCCATATCAAATTCCCAGTCAAAATCAAACTCCGGATCCATATAAAATTCCTGATCCATATGAAATTCCCAATCCACATCAAATTCCCTCTGGCTCAGGGCTTCAGTGACAGTGACACACTTGGGACACAAACTTGGCTTTGAAACCCCAGGGAATTCCTCCAGCCTTTCCACCCAGCTCTGCTCTGTTGAATCCCAGCCTCCAATTCCTGATCCATATCAAATTCCCTCTGACTCAGGGTTCCAGTGACACTGGGCACAAAACTGACACTGACATTGGACACAAAGCTCAACATTTAAACCCCCAGGGAGTTCCTCCAGCTCTTCCACCCAGCTCTGCTCTATTGAATTCCAGCCTCAAATTCCCAATCCATATCAAATTCCCAGTCCATACCAAATTCCCTCTGGCTCTGTCAGCCTCAGTTCCTTGATGCACATAAAATCCATATCACATCCATATCAAATTCCCAGTCAAAATCAAACTCCTGATCCATACCAAATTCCCGATCCACATCAAATTCCCGCTGGCTCAGGGTTCCAGTGTCAGTGACAAACTCTGCTTTGAAATCCCCACGGAGTTTCTCCAACTCTTCCACCCAGCTCTGCTCTGTCAACTTCAATCCTTGATCCACATCAAATCCATTTCACATCCATATCAAATTCCCAGTCAAAATCCAACTCCTGATCCAAATCAAATTCCTGATCATATCAAATTCCCAATTTACATCAAATTCCCTCTGGCTCGGGGTTCCACTGACAGTGACACACTTGGGACACAAACTCAGCTTTGAAACCTCCATTGAGTTTCCCCAACTCTTCCACCCAGCTCTGCTCTGTTGAATCCCTGTCTAAAATTCCCAATCCACATCAAATTCCTGATCCATATCAAATTCCTGATCCATATCAAATTCTCTCTGACTCAGGGCTCCAGTGACAGTGACACCACTGGACACAAAACTCAACATTAAAACCCCCAGGGAGTTTCTCCAGGTCTCCCACCCAGCTCTGCTCTGTCAACTTCAATCCTCAAACCCTGGATCCATATCAAATCCATATCACATCCATATCAAATTCCCAGTCAAAATCAAACTCCCGATCCATATAAAATTCATGATCCATATAAAATTCTCTCTGGCTCAAGGTTCCAGTGACAGTGACACACTTAGGACACAAACTTGGCTTTGAAACCCCAGGGAATTCCTCCAACTCTTCCACCCAACTCTGCTCTGTTGAATTCCAGCCTCAAATTCCCAATCCATAATAAATTCCCGATCCGTACCAAATTCCTCATCCTTATCAAATTCCTGACCCATATCAAATTCCCCATCCAATTTCAATTCCTCATCCTTATCAAATTCCCGATCCATACCATATTCCTGACCCATATCAAATTCCCAATCCATTTCAAACTCCTGATCCATATCTAATTCCTTGCCCATACCAAATTCCCAATCCACATCAAATCCTTCATTCTTATCAAATTCCCCAGTCACTTCCAATTCCTGATCCATACTAAATTCCCAATACGTATCTAATTCCTCATCCTTAACAAATTCCCAATCCGCTTCAAATTCCTCATCCATATCAAATTCCTGATCCATATCAAAACCCTCATCAAATTCCTGATCCATACCAAATTCCTCATCCTTATCAAATTCCCAGTCCACTTCAAATTCCAATTCCCAATCCATACCAAATTCCCAATCCATACCAAATTCCTCATTCTTGTCAAATTCCCAATCCATACCAAATTCCTCATCCTTATTAAATTCCCAATCCACTTGAAATTCCTGATCCATACCAAATTCCCCATACACATCTCATTCCTTATCCTTAACAAATTCCGAGTCCACTTCAAATTCCTGATCCATATCAAATTCCTGATCCATACCAGATTTTTCATCCTTATCAAATCCCCAGTCCACTTCAAATTCCCGATCCATACCAAACTCCTCATCAAATTCCCAATCCATATCAAATTCCTCATCCTTATCAAATCCCCAATCCATACCAAATTCCTGACCATATAAAATTCCTGACCCATACAAAATTCCCAGTTAAATAAAATTCTTTTTTCTTATAAAATTCTTCATTCCTATCAAATTCCTCATCCACTTCCAATTCCTGATCCACACCAAATTCCCAATACATATCTAATTCCTCATCCTTAACAAATTCCCAATCTGCTTCAAATTCCTCATCCATATCAAATTCCTGATCCATATCAAAACCCTCATCAAATTCCTGATCCATACCAAATTCCTCATCCTTATCAAATTCCCAGTCCATTTCAAATTCCAATTCCCAATCCATACCAAATTCCCAATCCATACCAAATACCTCATCCTTATTAAATTCCCAATCCACTTGAAATTCCTGATCCATATCAAATTCCTGATCCATCCCAAATTTTTCATCCTTATCAAATCCCCAGCCCACTTCAAATTCCCGATCCATACCAAACTCCTCATCAAATTCCCAATCCATATCAAATTCCTCATCCTTATCAAATCCCCAATCCATACCAAATTCCTGACCATATAAAATTCCTGACCCATACAAAATTCCCAGTTAAATAAAATTCTTTTTTCTTATAAAATTCTTCATTCCTATCAAATTCCTCATCCACTTCCAATTCCTAATCCACACCAAATTCCCAATACGTATCTAATTCCTCATCCTTAACAAATTCCCAATCCACTTCAAATTCCTCATCCATATCAAATTCCTGATCCATATCAAAATCCTCATCAAATTCCTGATCCATACCAAATTCCTCATCCTTATCAAATTCCCAGTCCACTTCAAATTCCAATTCCCAATCCATACCAAATTCCCAATCCATACCAAATTCCTCATTCTTATCAATTCTCAATCCATACCAAATTCCTCATCCTTATTAAATTCCCAATCCACTTGAAATTCCTGATCCATACCAAATTCCCCATACACATCTCATTCCTTATCCTTAACAAATTCCGAGTCCACTTCAAATTCCTGATCCATATCAAATTCCTGATCCATACCAGATTTTTCATCCTTATCAAATCCCCAGTCCACTTCAAATTCCCGATCCATACCAAACTCCTCATCAAATTCCCAATCCATATCAAATTCCTCATCCTTATCAAATTCCCAGTCCACTTCAAATTCCAATTCCCAATCCATACCAAATTCCCAATCCATACCAAATTCCACATTCTTATCAATTCCCAATCCATACCAAATTCCTCATCCTTATTAAATTCCCAATCCACTTGAAATTCCTGATCCATACCAAATTCCCCATACACATCTCATTCCTTATCCTTAACAAATTCCGAGTCCACTTCAAATTCCTGATCCATACCAAACTCCTCATCAAATTCCCGATCCATATCAAACTCCTCATCCTTATCAAATCCCCAATCCACACCAAATTCCCGATCCCTGCTCCATTCCCTCGGGACTCACGGTGAATTTGTGGCCCAGGGATTTCCAGAGCTCCTTGGTGAAGACGGCTTCATCCAGGACCTGGCTGATGAAGGATTCCAGCTTCCCAAATTCCTGCGCCACTGTGGCCACCACATCCCGCTCCGAGCCCTGGGAAAGGACGGCAAAACTCCAGGAAATTTGGGTCAAGGGAGGTCCGGGCTGGATTTTTGGGAATATTTATCCATTTAAACATTAAATTGAAATATTTCTTTTATATGTAGCAATGTCCAGGCGGGATATTTGGGAATATCCAGCATCGTGTCCCGCCTGGAATGAGGGAGGTCCAGGCTGGGTTTTTGGGAATATTTAGCAAAGAAGGTCCGGGTAGGATTTTTGGGAATATTTATCAATGTCCAGGTTGGATTTTAGGGAATATTTAGCAACACGTCCATCCTGGATCAAAAAAAGGTCCAGGCTGGATTTTTGGGAATATTTAGGAGTTCCAGGCTGGATTTTAGGGAATATTTAGGAAAGGAGTTCCAAGCTAGATTTTTGGGAATATTTAGGAAAGGAGTTCCAGGCTGGATTTTAGGGAATATTTAGGAAAGGAGTTCCAAGCTGGATTTTTGGGAATATTTAGCAACGTGTCCATTCTGGATTGAAAAAGGCCCAGCTTGGATTTTTGGGAATATTTAGGAAAGGAGTTCCAAGATGGACTTTTGGGAATATTTAGGAAAGTAGTTCCAAGCTGGATTTCAGGGAATATTTAGGAAAGGAATTTCAGGTTGGATTTTTGGGAATATTTAGGAAAGGAATTTCAGGCTGGACTTTTGGGAATATTTAGTACTGCATCCATCATGGATCAAAAAAGGTCCAGGCTGGATTTTCAGGAATAATTAACAAAGGAGATCCAGGTTGAATTTTAGGGAATATTTAGGAAAGGAGTTCCAAGCTGGATTTCAGGGAATATTTAGGAAAGGAATTTCAGGTTGGATTTTGGGGAATATTTAGTTACGTGTCCATCATGGATCAAAAAAGGTCCAGGCTGGATTTTACGGAATATTTAGGAAAGGCATTCCAGGTTAAATTTTTGGGAATATTTAGGAAAGGAATTTCAGGTTGGATTTTTGGGAATATTTAGGAAAGGAATTTCAGGTTGGACTTTTGGGAATATTTAGTAATGCATCCATCATGGATCAAAAAAGGTCCAGGCTGGATTTTTGGGAATGTTTAAGAAAGGAATTCCAGATTGGATTTTTGGGAATATTTAGGAATGTGTCCCTCCTGGATCAAAAAAGGTCCAGGCTGGATTTTCAGGAATAATTAACAAAGGAGATCCAGGTTGAATTTTAGGGAATATTTAGGAAAGGAGTTCCAGGCTGGATTTTAGGGAATTTAGCAAAGGAGTTCTAGGTTGGATTTTTGGGAATATTTAGGAAAGGAGTTCCAAACTGGATTTTAGGGAATATTTAGGAAAGGAGTTCCAGGCTGGATTTCAGGGAATATTCAGCAATGTGTCCATTCTGGATCAAAAAATGTCCAGGCTGGATTTTAGGGAATATTTAGGAAGGGATCTCCAAGCTGGATTTTAGGGAATATTTAGGAAAGGAGTTCCAAGATGGACTTTTGGGAATATTTAGGAAAGGAGTTCCAGGTTGAATTTTTGGGAATACTTAGGAAAGGAATTTCAGGTTGGATTTTTGGGAATATTTAGCAACGTGTCCATCATGGATCAAAAAAGGTCCAGGCTGGATTTTCAGGAATAATTAACAAAGGAGATCCAGGTTGGATTTTAGGGAATATTTAGGAAAGGAGTTCCAAGCTGGATTTTAGGGAATATTTAGGAAAGGAGTTCCAGATTCGATTTTTGGGAATATTTAGCAACGCATCCATTCCAGATCAAAAAAGATCCAGGTTGGATTTTTGGGAACATTTAGGAAGGGAATTCCAAGCTGGATTTTAGCGAATATTTAGGAAAGGAGTTCCAGGTTGGATTTTTGGGAATATTTAGCAACGTGTCCATTCTGGATCAAAACAGGTCCAGGCTGGATTTTAGGGAATATTTAGGGAAAAAAATTCCAGGTTGGATTTTTGGGAATATTCATCAATGCGTCCATCCTGGGCCAAACAGGTTCCAGGTTAGATTTTCAGGAATATTTAGGAAAGGAGTTCCAGATTCGATTTTTGGGAACATTTAGCAACGTATCCATCCTGGATCAAAAAAGGTCCAGGTTAGATTTTCAGGAATATTTAGCAAAGGAGTTCCAGATTGAATTTTAGGGAATGTTTCTTCCCACAAATCCCATCAAGAAGATCCCCTGAGCATTCCAGGGAATTCCCACCTCCTGGAGCTGCTCCTGGAGCTGCGTGAGGAGCCGCAGGTAGCTCTGGATGTGCTCCCGGAAGGGTTTGTGGAGCACCAAGTGCAGGGCCAGGCCCAGGGAGCTCTCCGAGGTGAAATCCCGCAGGAATTCCTTCAGCACCGCCTTGTGCAGCCTCCAGGCATCACTGGAAAATTGGGAATGATGAGAAAGGGTCGTTAATTATCCCAGAATTCCCGCTCTTCTGTTTTCCAAACTTTCTGTGTGGTGAGGACGGGGAAAGGTGTGAAAAATCTGGGAATGCGCTCCTTACAAATTCCTGTCTGCAGTTGTGGCTTCCATAAAAATCTGGGATTAGTGGGAATTCCCAGCCAGATTCCCACCCCTTCCCTAAACCCCAAATCCTAAATTTCCAGCTATGGAAGGAGCTGGGGGTGGTTGGAAGGATGGAATCCATCCATGGATAACAGGAACCATGGAAAAATTGGGAATGTGCTCCTTAGAAATCCATGTTTTCATTCCCTGATTCCACAAAAATCTGGGATTAGTGGGAATTCCCAGCCAGATTCCCACCCCTTCCCTAAATCCTCAAATCTTAAGTTTCCAACTCTGGAAGGAGCTGGGGGTGGTTGGAAAGAGGGAATTGGGAAAGAGGGAATCCATCCATGGAATGATGAGAAAGGGTCATTAATTATCCCAGAATTCCCGCTCTTCTGTTTTCCAAACTTTCTCTGTGGTGAGGACGGGGAAAGGTGTGAAAAATCTGGGAATGCGCTCCTTACAAATTCCTGTCTGCAGCTGTTGCTTCCATAAAAATCTGGGATTTGTGGGAATTCCCAGCCAGATTCCCACCCCTTTCCTAAACCCCAAATCCTAAATTTCCAACTCTGGAAGGAGCTGGGGGTGGTTGGAAAGAGGGAATTGGGAAAGAGGGAATCCATCCATGGAATGATGAGAAAGGGTCATTAATTATCCCGGAATTCCCGCTCTTCTGTTTTCCAAACTTTCTGTGTGGTGAGGACGGGGAAAGGCGTGAAAAATGGGAATGCGCTCGTTAAAAATTCCTGTCTGCAGTTGTTGCTTCCATAAAAATCTGGGATTAGTGGGAATTCCCAGCCAGATTCCCACCCCTTTCCTAAATCCCCAAATCCCAAGTTTCCAACTCCAGAAGGAGCTGGGGGTGGTTGGAAAGAGGAAAATCCAGTCTTGGAACTGGACAGGGTTTGGAGCAACCTGGGATAGGGGGAACCAAAGAAAAACTGGGAATGTGCTCCTTAGAAATCCAGGTTTCCATTCCCTGCTTCCATAAAAATCTGGGATAAATTGGAGAAAGGAATTTGGCTGGGAATTCCAATTCCATCTTTTCCCTAAATCCCCAAACCCCAAGTTTCCAACTCCAGAAGGAGCTGGGAGTGATTGGAAGAGGAAAATCCAATCCTGGAATTGGACAAGGATTGGAGCAATCTGGCATAGTAGGAGCCATGGAAAAATTGGGAATGTGCTCCTTAGAAATCCAGGTTTCCATTCCCTGCTTCCATTAAAATCTGGGATAAGTTGGAATTCCCAGACAGATTCCCACCCCTTCCTTAAATCTCCAAATCTTAAATTTCCAACTCCAGAAGGAGCTGGGGGTGGATGGAAGAGGAAAATCCAATCTTGGAACCTGGGATAGCAGGAGCCATGGAAAAATTGGGAATGTGCTCCTTAGAAATCCATGGTTTTACTCCCTGCTTCCATAAAAATCTGGGATAAGTGGGAATTCCCAGCCAAATTCCTCTCCCCAATTCCATCTTTTCCCTAAATCCCCAAATCCCAAGTTTCCAACTCCAGAAGGAGCTGGGGATGGTTGGAAAGAGGGAACTGGGAAAGAGGGAATCCATCCGTGGATAAAAGGAGCCATGGAAAAATTGGGAATGTGCTCCTTAGAAATCCGTGTTTCCATTCCCTGCTTCCATAAAAATCTGGGATAAATTGGAGAGAGGGATTTGGCTGGGAATTCCAATTCCATCTTTTCCCTAAATCCCCAAATCCCAAGTTTCCAATTCCAGAAGGAGCTGGGGGTGGTTGGAAAGAGGAAAATCCAGTCTTGGAACTGGACAGGGTTTGGAGCAACCTGGGATAGCAGGAGCCATGGAAAAAATGGGAATGTGCTCCTTAGAAATCCCTGGTTTTACTCCCTGCTTCCATAAAAATCTGGGATAAATTGGAATTCCCAGCCAAATTCCTCTCCCCAATTCCATCTTTTCCCTAAATCCCCAAATCCCAGGTTAGGAAGAGGGAAAGCCAATCTTGGAATTGGACAAGGTTTAGAGCAACCTGGGATAATGGGAGCCAAGGAAAAACTGGGAATGTGCTCCTTAGAAATCCATGTTTCCATTCCCTGCTTCCATAAAAATCTGGGATTTGTGGGAATTCCCAGCCAGATTCCCACCCCTTTCCTAAACCCCAAATCCTAAATTTCCAACTCTGGAAGGAGCTGGGGGTGGTTGGAAAGAGGGAATTGGGAAAGAGGGAATCCATCCATGGAATGATGAGAAAGGGTCATTAATTATCCCGGAATTCCCGCTCTTCTGTTTTCCAAACTTTCTGTGTGGTGAGGACGGGGAAAGGCGTGAAAAATGGGAATGCGCTCGTTAAAAATTCCTGTCTGCAGTTGTTGCTTCCATAAAAATCTGGGATTAGTGGGAATTCCCAGCCAGATTCCCACCCCTTTCCTAAATCCCCAAATCCCAAGTTTCCAACTCCAGAAGGAGCTGGGGGTGGTTGGAAAGAGGAAAATCCAGTCTTGGAACTGGACAGGGTTTGGAGCAACCTGGGATAGGGGGAACCAAAGAAAAACTGGGAATGTGCTCCTTAGAAATCCAGGTTTCCATTCCCTGCTTCCATAAAAATCTGGGATAAATTGGAGAAAGGAATTTGGCTGGGAATTCCAATTCCATCTTTTCCCTAAATCCCCAAACCCCAAGTTTCCAACTCCAGAAGGAGCTGGGAGTGATTGGAAGAGGAAAATCCAATCCTGGAATTGGACAAGGATTGGAGCAATCTGGCATAGTAGGAGCCATGGAAAAATTGGGAATGTGCTCCTTAGAAATCCAGGTTTCCATTCCCTGCTTCCATTAAAATCTGGGATAAGTTGGAATTCCCAGACAGATTCCCACCCCTTCCTTAAATCTCCAAATCTTAAATTTCCAACTCCAGAAGGAGCTGGGGGTGGATGGAAGAGGAAAATCCAATCTTGGAACCTGGGATAGCAGGAGCCATGGAAAAATTGGGAATGTGCTCCTTAGAAATCCATGGTTTTACTCCCTGCTTCCATAAAAATCTGGGATAAGTGGGAATTCCCAGCCAAATTCCTCTCCCCAATTCCATCTTTTCCCTAAATCCCCAAATCCCAAGTTTCCAACTCCAGAAGGAGCTGGGGATGGTTGGAAAGAGGGAACTGGGAAAGAGGGAATCCATCCGTGGATAAAAGGAGCCATGGAAAAATTGGGAATGTGCTCCTTAGAAATCCGTGTTTCCATTCCCTGCTTCCATAAAAATCTGGGATAAATTGGAGAGAGGGATTTGGCTGGGAATTCCAATTCCATCTTTTCCCTAAATCCCCAAATCCCAAGTTTCCAATTCCAGAAGGAGCTGGGGGTGGTTGGAAAGAGGAAAATCCAGTCTTGGAACTGGACAGGGTTTGGAGCAACCTGGGATAGCAGGAGCCATGGAAAAAATGGGAATGTGCTCCTTAGAAATCCCTGGTTTTACTCCCTGCTTCCATAAAAATCTGGGATAAATTGGAATTCCCAGCCAAATTCCTCTCCCCAATTCCATCTTTTCCCTAAATCCCCAAATCCCAGGTTAGGAAGAGGGAAAGCCAATCTTGGAATTGGACAAGGTTTAGAGCAACCTGGGATAATGGGAGCCAAGGAAAAACTGGGAATGTGCTCCTTAGAAATCCATGTTTCCATTCCCTGCTTCCATAAAAATCTGGGATAAATTGGAGAAAGGAATTTGGCTGGGAATTCCAATTCCATCTTTTCCCTAAATCCCCAAATCCCAACTTTCCAGCTCCAGAAGGGAAGAGGAAAATCCAATTCTGGAATTGTCCAAGGTTGGAAAGGGCTTGGAGCAACCACAGTGGGAGTTGGCCCAGGATAGGATGAGAGGATTTTTTTGGGGAATTTTCCAAACCGTTCTGGAATTCTGAGATTCTCTGGTGTCCCCACATCCCAAGGATTCCCAAAATTCCCAAGGATTTTCCACCCGCCGACCTCTTGCTCCTGGCGGCCTGCTCGAAGCCCTGGACCACGACAAAGTTGGCGAAGGTGACGAAATACCTGGAAAAAATTCCAAGGAGGAGTTTGAGAGGGAAATTCGGGATGAATTTATGGATCCCAGCTTTTTGGGGAGTTCCCTTAATCCCATAAAAGCACCTCTGGAAAAATGCAGGCCCAGATGTTGGATGGATTGGGATCAAAGGTTGGATCAGATCTTGGAATTCTTTCCCAATCTTAATTCCAGGATTTTTTGGCAGATTTGGATAAGGCAAAAGTGCTGATAATCCTGGGATCCGTTTCCATCAGATTTTACAGAATAAAATTCCATAAAGGAATTTTCTGATCTGAGCTGTTTATTCACCACAGAATTCCCAACAGAATTGGGAAAATTTGGGAATTCTGGGGTGGAAATAATGGAGTTGTCACACTCCAGCTCTGTGCTTTATTTTTCCAAGTAAAACTTGGAATTCTCTTTTTTTCCATCTCATGTTTCCCAAGATTTTCTTCCAAGATCTGCATTTTCTGCACCTAAAATTCTGAGTAAATCCCACATTTTCTCCCAGCAAATTTCACATTTTCCCAGCAAATCCCACATTAAACCTGGGTTTAATTCAAAAAAAACAGGAATAAAACCTCTGGAAAATTTCTTTGGATCATCCAAAATCTCATTCACCTGGAAAACCCCAAACTGGGAAAGCCCAAACTGGGAAACCCAAACTGGGAAAGCCCAAACTGGGAAAGCCCAAACTGGGAAAACCCAAACTGGAAAACCCCAAACTGGGAAAGCCCAAACTGGGAAACCCCAAACTGGGAAACCCAAACTGGGAAAACCCAAACTGGGAAAGCCCAAACTGGGAAAACCCAAACTGGGAAAACCCAAACTGGGAAAGCCCAAACTGGGAACGCTTTGGCCGCTTCCATGGAGAAGCGAAAATGTAAAATTGAAGATTTTTATGGAATTTCAGCTCTCCATAAAATTTCACAAAATCCTGGGAAAATCCCACCCAACCCATTTTCCATGGCCATTTTCCCTCTGTGAGCTCCCATCCCAATTTTTCCCGATATTCCCAATGGGATCAACCCAATCCCGTTTTCCCAAATATTCCGACGCTCACTGGATGTAGAGGCTGAGGAAAACTTCTCCTTTCCAGAGGATGTAAAAATCCTGGATACAGCCGGAATTTTCCAACGGAGATTTCCCCCTCAGGATCCGGGAATTCTCCTCCGTGAAATTCCAGAGGGTTTGGAAGCGATCGTTGAGGAGCACGAAGAGCTGGAAATTCTCCTTTTCCTTCGGATCCTGCGGCTCTGGGAGGGGAAAAATTGGGAAAATCCTGTGGGAAAAGTGGAATTCCAAAGGGGTTTTGTGGAATTTTGTGGTTGAGAAATTCTGAGAAATGGGAAATTTCAAGAATTTTTTACCAGAGCTGTTTTGGTTGGAAGGAATGAATTGAATAATTTGGGAATGTAGAGAAAAGAAAATATGGGAAGAATGAAAAAAAAAAAAAAAAAAGGGGAAATTCCAGGAATTTTCAGAGCTGTTTTGGAAGGAATCAATTAAATAATTTGGGAAAACAGAGAGGAAAACAATGCGGGAAATGGAAAAAATGGGAAATTTCAGGAATTTTCAGAATGGTTTTCAAGGAACCATTTTGCTGGAATAAATTGAATCATGTGGGAAAATAAAAAGGAGAAAAAATGGGGAAAATGGAAAAAATTGTGGAAATTCCAGGAATTTTCAGAGTCCATGCAGCCATTTTTCCTGGAGGAAATGAATAATTTGGGAATATAGAGGGGAAGAAAAATGGGAAAAATAGATCTGAAAAAAAAAGAAAATTCCAGGAATTTTTTGAGCTGTTTTGACCGGAAGGAAATAAATAATTTGGGAAAATAGAGAGGGGAAAAAATGGGAAAAATGGGGAAAAAGGGGGAAATTCCAGGAATTTTTGGAGGCCTTGGAGCCATTTTGCTGGAATAAATTGAATGATGTGGGAAAATAAAAAGGAACAAAAATGGGAAAATGGAAAAAACTGGGGAAATTCCAGGAATTTTCGGAGTCCATGCAGCCATTTTTCCTGGAGGAAATGAATAATTTGGGAATAGAGGGGGGGGGGGAAATGGGGAAAATAGATCTGAAAAAAAAAAAGGAAATTCCAGGAATTTTTGGAGCTGTTTTGACTGGAAGGAAATAAATAATTTGGGAAAATAGAGAGGGGAAAAAATGGGAAGAATGGGGAGAAAAAGGGGGAAATTCCAGGAATTTTTGGAGGCCATGGAGCGTTTTTGCTGGAATGGGACAAACTCTATCCCAAACTCTCTGGACCCTTTTCCCAAGGGTGGGAAAAATTCCCACTTTCCTTGGAGTCATCCCAAAAAGAATTCCTGGAAAAGCCCCACGCAGGAAAATCAGGGCCAGGAATTTCCTTGGATTTGGAATTTCCCTGGATCAGGAACGCTGATCCCGATGAAAACACGGATTGATCCCAAAAAACCACCCTGGTCTCGTTCTCCATTCCCAATTTAAGGAAAACATTCCCACAAAACATTTCCTCTTCCCAGCAGGAATTCCAGCCAGAAATCCCCTCCCAGATCAATTCCAGGTGGGAATTCCATAGAAAAATTCCCAGAAAATTCCGGAATTTACCTGCCTGGAGCAGAGGTTTGATGATGAGGGCGTCGATCCGGGCCAGGCAGGAGGAGAAGTTTTCCTCCAGCTGGAGCAACAATTCCAAAATTCCCGAAATTCCAGCTGTGGACATGGCCTGGAAAACAGCGGGAATGAATCAAATCCCTGGAAATCCATCGGATTCCATCTCCAAGGTTTTTCCTTGGATTTCCAGCAAAGCTTCCCTGCCCTTGGCCCCATTCTTGAGTGGGGCTGATCCCAAAAATCCTCGAGAAAAGTTGGAAGAGAAACAGAAACCAAACAGCTCAACCCAGCCCAGTTTTCCTGAATTTTCCCGAATTTTCCCAAATTTTCCCAAATTTTCCCAAATTTTCCCGAATTTTCCCAAATTCCTAATGACCTCAGAGCTGGAAAAGCCTGGAATTAATTCCTTGTGTTAATCCTGATGGGAATTTTCCCATTCCAGAGGGGCTTTTCCAGCAGAAATCCTGGAAATCCCAAGGATGAAAGTGAAATCGTTTCCCACCACTCTCACTCCTGTCCCGCTCATTCCCAGCCTTGTTTTCTGAAATTCCCAATAATCAGGAAAAGCTTGGAATTCCTTGTGTTAACCCTAATGAATTCCAGAGGGGTTTTCCCAGGAGAAAATCCCGGAAATCCACGGGATGAAGGAGAAATCTCTTCCCACCCCTCTCATTCCCGTTCTTGTCCCTCTTTTCCCAAATTCCCGATGATCCCAGGGCCACAAAATACTCAGAAAAGCCTGGAACCAATTCCTTCAGGAATTAATGGAATCCAGCAGGATTATTTTTATTTTTCCAAAGAAAATGCCCACAATTCCCAGAGAAAGTTCCCACAATTCCCAGAGGAAATTCCCCCAATTCCTGCAAAAAAATTTCCCAAAAATTTCCCACAAAGAATTCCTACAATTCCTGGAGGAATTTCCCACAATTCCCACAGAAAATTCCCTTGATTCCCACAGAAAATTTTCCCAATTTCTGCAGAAATTTCCCCCAATTCCCAGGAAGAATTCCTACAATTCCTGGAGGAATTTCTCCCAATTCCCAGGAAGAATTCCTACAATTCCTGGAGGAATTTTCCCCCAATTCCCAGGAAGAATTCCCACAATTCCTGGAGGAATTTCCCACAATTCCCAGGAAGAATTCCTACAATTCCTGGAGGAATTTTCCCCCAATTCCCACAAAGAATTCCCACAATTCCTGGAGGAATTTTCCCCCAATTCCCAGGAAGAATTCCTACAATTCCTGGAGGAATTTCCCACAGTTCCCAGAGGAAAATTCCCCCGATTCCCACAGAAAATTTTCCCAATTTCTGCAGAAATTTCCCCCAATTCCCACAAAGAATTCCTACAATTCCTGGAGGAATTTCCCACAATTCCCAGGAAGAATTCCCACAATTCCTGGAGGAATTTCCCACAATTCCCAGAGAAATTCCCCCCAGCACTTTCCTGCCCGGAGCCGTTCCCAAGGGAATTCCGGGTGCTTTGCATGAGGCTTTTCCAACCCCTTTGGAATGTCAACATTCCCAAACAGGTCAGGCCTGTGCCTCAGCTAGGCTGGGATTAACCAGAGCTGGTTTTAACGACCAAACCTAAACCCGGGAGGCTTCCCGAGGTTTATTCTGCTCCTATTCCCAAAAAAACCAACTCTGGAATCAGGAATCTCCAAATTCCCAACTTCAGTCACTGTTCCTCCCTGTTATTCCTGAATTTCTTCAGAATTCCCGAGTTTTTTGGCCTCCAAAAGTAATCTAGGCTGGATTTTTGGGAAAATCCCACCCACATTCCCAAAAATTCCCATTTTCCTGCTCTTTGGGATTGAAGCCGTTCCAGGGAGCAGCTGCACGTTCCAAAGGGGTTTTCCCTAAAATGCTTCAGCATTAGGCCAGGCCTACATAAACCCAACTTTAATCCAGTTTAAACCCAGCTCCAAATTAAACCCAAATTTAAAACAAGCCCCAAACTAAACCGAAGTTTAAACCCAGCCCCAATTTAAACCACAGTTTAAACTCAGCCCCAAACTAAACCACTCTTTAAACCCAGCCCCAATTCAAACCACAGTTTAAACTCAGCCTCAAATGAATCCCAAGTTTAAACCACAGTTCAAACTCGGCTCCAAATTAAACCCAAGTTTAAAACATGACCCAAACTAACCCCAAATTTAAATCCAGCTCCAATTTAAATGAAAGTTTAAACCCAGCCCCAAATGAAACCAAAGTTTAAACTCAGCCCCAAACTAAACCCAAATTTAAACCCAACTTCAAATTAAACCCAAGTTTAAAACATGCCCCAAACTAAACCAAAAACTAAACCCAGCCCCAAACTAAACCACAGTTTAAACCCAGCCCCAAATGAAACAACAGTTTAAACTCAGCCCCAAATTAAACCCAAATTTAAACCCAGCCACAATTTAAAACACAGTTCAAACTCAGCCCCAAATGAAATCAAAGTTTAAACCCATCCCCAAATGAGCCCCAAAATAAACCCAAATTTAAACCCAGCCCAAATGAAACCACAGCTTAAACCCAGCCCCAAACGAAACCAAAGTTTAAACCACAGACTAAACCCAGCCCCAAAATAAGCCAAAGTTTAAACCCAGCCCCTCCTCTGCCTTTAATTCTTTATTATTTTTAAAAGCCTCCAAAGCGCCGCTCCCCACCCAAAACCGAGCCTGGAATCCCGACTTTCCATGGAATTCCGAAACTCCTGGAAGGGTTTTTATGGGATCACCTCCCCCGGACAGAAACCTGTTAAACCGAGTTTATCAGCCTGGCTTTAATTCTCCATCTCTTGGCACGGCCGCGGCTTCTCCAGCTTTGTTCCATCCGCCCTGGAATTGCAGGCGAGGCTGGAAAATCCCTCCCTGCAGGAGCAGGACCGGGAGTCCCGCCTGGAAAAGCCGCGGTGGGAGCAAGGACCGGTTTAAATCGGGGTTTTATTTTCGCCAGGAGTGAAATCCCTTAAAAAGAGCTGAAATTCCTTTGGAAAAGCGGGGTTTAGTGGGAAAATCCGCTCCGGGATTTGCAATTTGATCCCGGTTCTAACATGGGGAAAACACTCGCAAATTTCATCCGGATTAAATGAAACTGATCCCAAAAGCACGCAGGAAATCCCAAAGTTTGCTGGATTTCGGAGGGACCCACCTGGAATGAGGCAGCGCAGGAAAATTCCCGGCTGGGAAAATCTCCGGGAGGCGCAGAAATCCGGGAATTCTCGCTGTTCCCCAGGCTGGAATTTTTCCCTCCCATCTTTCCCTCCCACATTTGGAGGCAGAGCCCCAAATCCCAAACGCCCACGGGAGCCGGGGATTACAAAATCCCGAATCTTGGCTCCCCAAAGTTCCTGCTCCTCCTCTTCCCCCCCAACTTTTATTATTTTATTTATTTATTTAAATAATCCGGATTTTGTCAGGCCGGATTTTGTCATCCCGGATTTTGTCAACGCGGATTTGGGGGGAAGTTGAACTTTCGGGAAGTTGAAAAATTCGAGAAGTGAAAGGAAAAAAAGGTCAGGAGTGGTTTTGGGGCAAGTTTCGTTTCTCAGCCTCGCTCTGTTCCCACAGCGCTTCTCCCAAAAAAAAAAAAAAAAAAAAAAAAATTGGGATTTTTTTTTCCGCCTCCTTCCAGGCTCGCTCCCATTTGCTGGGAATTCCAGGAATTCCTTGGAAAAGGAGATTTTTCCTGCCATTCACATGCGCCGCACGCCGCTTCCCTTCCGCATTAAAATCCCCAAACCAACCCCAAACTTCCCGAATCCCTCGGGCAGGCGCTCCCAGAGTTCTCTGCTGCGCCTCAACCTTTAACTCTTTCCCTTCCTCCTAAAAAAAATCCTAAATCCAACCCCAAAATTCCCAAATCCATCGGTCAAGAGATTCCGGAGTTCTCTATGAAGCTCAGCCACCTTTAACCATTTCCCTTCCTCCTAAAAATCCTAAATCCGACCCAAAATTCCCAAATCCATCGGTCAGGACATCCCAGACACCTCAGCCACTTTTAGCTCTTTCCCTTCCTCCTAAAAACCCTAAATCCAACTCTAAAATTCCCAAATCCATCCCAGACACCTCAGCCACTTTTAGCTCTTTCCCTTCCTCCTAAAAACCCTAAATCCAACTCTAAAATTCCCAAATCCATCGGTCCAGAGTTCTCTGTGCAGCTCAGTCACCTTTAACTCTTTCCCCTCCTCCTAAAAACCCTAAACCCGACCCCAAATATCCCAAATCCATCGGTCCGGAGATTCCGGAGTTCTCTGTGCAGTTCAGCCACTTTTAACTCTTTCCCCTCCTCCTAAATCCAACCACAAAATTCCCAAATCCATCGGTCAGGAGGTGCCAGACACCTCAGCCACCTTTAACTCTTTCCCTTCCTCCCAAAAACCCTAAATAAGATCCCAAAATTCCCAAATCCATCCGTCAGGAGATTCCGGAGTTCTCTGTGCAGCTCAGCAATCTTTAACTCTTTCCCTTCCTCCTAAAAAAAGTCCTAAATCCAACCCCAAAATTCCCAAATCCATCGGTCAGGAGATCCCAGACACCTCAACCACTTTTAACTCTTTCCCTTCCACCTAAAACCCCGAAACCCGACCCCAAAATTCCCAAATCCATCGGTCCGGAGATCCCAGACACCTCAACCACCTTTAACCATTTCCCCTCCTCCTAAAAATCCTAAATCCAACTCCAAAATTCCTAAAACTTTTTAAGGAGGCCCCAGACACCTCAGGCACCTTTAACTCTTTCCATTTCCCTAAAAATCCTGAATCCAACTCCAAAACTCCCAAATCCATCCCTCAGGAGATCCCAAAGTTCTCTGTGCACCTCAGCCACCTTTAACCATTTCCCTTCCTCCTAAAAAATCCTAAATGCAACCTTCAAATTCCCAAAACCTTTTCAGGAGATCCCAAACACCTCAGCCCCAGGAACTCGTTCCTAAAAACAACCCCAAACTCCCGAATCCTTCCCTCAGGAGATCCCGGAGTTCCCGGCTCCAGCTCAGCCGCCTTTAACTCTTTCTCCTCCTCCTAAAAACCCTAAACCCAACCCCAAAGTTCCTAAAACCTTTCAGGAGACCCCAGACACCTCAGCCACCTTTAACTCCTTCCCTTCCCCCTAAAAAATCCCAAATCCAACC